TTTACGGCTCTGTTCAAAGACTGACGTGGTGTTTCATCTCGACCGTACCTTCTTCACACAGTCAGAGACAGAGGACAGGGGGCGGAGGAAGAGGAGGAGGAAGAAGACGCATGTGCACCGCGTTGGGAGATATTTTCACATGGTCATGGCTTAGAAACATATATTAAAGGAAAAGATGCTGTGCCAGCTAACAATGGTAGCAAACAACATATTTCAAACATGAAAAACACACAAATGAACTTAAGTCTTAGCGAGCATCGAGAATTAGAAATGTTGGAATGTTCCTTATAGCATTTTACATTTTCAAAAAAATCAAACGAAATCTACCAAAATGGATGCCAGGCCACGGCTAGTTTTATGAAAACGCTTCATTTTGGCGTCAAAATCATTCTGCCCGAATTGATCGGGTTTAAACTCTTGGAGGAGTTTGTTCGTTTATGAATCAAAAATACAAGGAATGACTGCAGAGCCGCCTAATTTTATATTTCGGAGAAAAATAGGGTATGCTCAAGGACTCAATGTGAACATATCCTAGAGATTTGGTGAGGACAGGTCAAGTACATTTTAAGTTATAAGTCTATAAGTCTAACTATTAGGCCACAGCCCTTACAAACTTCATCTGTCCATAACCTCTTAACAAAATGGACCCAACGTCTGGGAGGAGTTTGCAAAAACGTGTTTTTCACCAAATTAAAAATGGCGGAAAATCTAGTTGGGCTCATTTGCATACAATGATTGACTGTTTTGTAGGGCATATCCAAGAGCACCAGTGTGCAAAATTCCTAGTCAATCGGTGAAACTAGGCAAAAATCTCTCACTTCCAGGGGGCGCCGGAGAGCCATTTCTTCTTTTGAATATGATAAAGGCCTCAAAAGTGCGATTGAAGTGGCAAAATAATAATAATAATTCTTCGAAACACAATAGGAAGAAATTTGTGTCAGCTACTGGTCCTGGCAAAGAAATACTTCTGGACACAAACTCCAGATACGTCATTATTACACTTTGTTCTTGGTACATTGATTAAACAAACAAGACTTCGAATGTAAATATGTGAACAGTAGTGGTGCAGATTGTGTTTCCCTGCTACCAGTCACCATGCTAAGCTAACTGGCTTCTCCCTCTGGCCTGTTCAAGACCATTTTTGGCAAATACGACGTTCTACATCTGACGACGATTTAAACTCACTTTCAGAAAATGTAAAAGAGGCAGTAGTGGAAGCAAGTGGAAGGCACTGCAGCAAAAACAGGCCACATCGCACCGCATCGGCCCCCGAGACACACTGTGATGACCTTTACCCCCCCCCACCCTCTCTCCTGTGCAGTCCTTCACAAGCACGCCGGCACCTCTAGGGCCGGAGAGCAAAGCTTTCTGGGTGATCAGAAACAGATGTGCCTCTTGCCCCTCTTCTCTTAACTCGTACAAAGTCACACCCGCTGTCTCGTGAACACACACACACACACGTGCACACACGCACACGCTGGCGGCTATCAGAACCAGCACCGGGACCCAGCCGGAGCGCCGAGGCAGCGTGACCCTGAGCTTGACCTCAGCCAGCAGCACCTCAGACAGGAAAAGGGACGCAATTGGCTTCAGCTGTGACCCTCCGCCCCCCCCTCACTCATGCCCCCCCCCCCGTCTCATTAAGACAAACTGTTTTTTAAGGCAAAGCAGCTTTCACTACCACTAAAGGCAACACCCTGCAGCACGGAGAGGGGCGGCGGAGAGAAGGGGGGGGGGGCGGAGGTGAAGGTAAAAGAAGGAGGAAGAAATAGAGCCCGAAAAGGGGGGGCTGGGGGGGTAATAAAAAAAATGAAAGAACAAAAGATCCATGTGATGGAAAAAAGTTGGGGAAAAGGGGGCACAGAGTTAGAACAAAAGGGGGGGGGGGGGGGGGGGTATTAATTTGAGCGGCTGCGGGGTCGTGGTCTCCAAAACCCTTTTCACCCGGGGAGGGTTTTTTTTTTCCCCCCCAAAGAGAAAGGGGGGGGTCATGGTTACATTAATATCAAAACATTCAAAACAACAGCTTTGCACCCGAGAAGGAGCACAGAGAGAGAGAGAGAGAAGCAAAGATGAAGTCACTTAATTGTAATGACGATGAAATCGGTCTAATCATGAACAGCAGTGGGGAACGTTTGTCTTGGAGACGGACTGCCGAGTGCACAAACAACATATTTGTTTGTTTAGAGACGTACAGCAAAGACATGTGGAAATGATTGGTTCTCTTTCACTTTTTTATTTTCGCTCGCCTCCGCTTTTGTCGTCTGAACCTCCCGCCCCTTTACACACCCACACTTCTTCTGCAGAGCAGAGACTTTATGAATGCATCCCACAAATCGCCTGTTTCTGCAAAACTGCTGAAAACATTTGCACGTTTGAGTGCTTGTAAGGGCCAAAAACCTAAAGCAAAGAAAACAAACTACTGTGTGTGTGTGTGTGTGTGTGTGTGTGTGTGTGTGTGTGTGTGTGTGTGTGAGAGAGAGTGGCAGGGCATGCTGAGGTAGATTAATACCGCTGCTCAGAGGGGGGGTTCCTCCTTTCAGGGCTGACTGATGTGCGTCCCAAATTGATTTATGAAAACGGCCCTTAATCAATTATGTGAGGAGAAAAAGGGTGAGAGGGGGAAAGGAGAGAAGAAGAAAGAGAGGATCTGTAGGGGGGAGGGAGGGGGAGTTAAAGAGGATAGCTGGGATAAAGGCACAGATGCAAAGTGTGTGAACGCTGCTGCTCTGCGGAGGAATGTGGATGTGTCACTTTATGCCACAGGTGTCCGGCGTGGTGGATGTGATGGTTTGTAAGGGACACACAAAGCGCCGTGGGCGGAGCCTGGTGGACGCGGCCGGTTCTGTGGGCGACTCACTGAGCGCGCTGCGTCCACAGGGTCCATCAAAGGTTCTTTTTTTACTTGTCCCGACAGAGAAAGGGGGAAAATTTAGAAAATTTAGGCCGAAGTGCTGCAGCAGTGTCATGTGGTTTTTGTAATAATAATGGGCCCAGTTTTTTTTTGAGGGGGGGGGGGGCAGAGTAGAGTGAAGCTGCAGTTGTTTAAAAAGCCCTTCCCCTGCCTTGCCCATTGTGCCTGAGACAGGGGTGTGTGTGTGGGAGGAGGGGGGGTCACGCTGAGAGCTCGTTTCTCCTGCTTGTCAGGACTCTCTCTGGGATCCAGCCGGAACTAATCAACTCCAAAAGGCCTCCCCATTACCCAGGGTGCAATGGGGGGGCTGCCCGGTGGGAAACAGAGAGGGGGAGGGACTGACTGACCCCCACCCACCACCACCACCACCGTCCCTCCACAGACACACCGCCCTCCACCAGTCCGTGCAGCACACACAACTCTCCCACTGTTTCACACTGAAGCAATAATAAACACTCGCAATAATATTTTCACAGCGAGCAAAAGCCTGCTTCAGATCAGAACCTCGCGCAGCTGTGCAGCACACGCGCACACACGCAGCTTGCTCGTCACGCACACGTCACGTCACGCCGCTTCCAAAACGTTTAAACGTTAAAGGCAATTTTAGGTGAGAAAGCAGCAGAAGGAGTTGACAGCCGCTACACGTTACAACAAAACGCATCAAAACAAACTCACACAAACTCACAGTATTAAAAATATATACATATATGTTTATAATGTGGTAATTTGACCACTAAGATTTCACAATATTTGTGATCATTCAACCAATCTGGTTTACTTTAAAGCATTTTTATTATTATTATTATTTTAAAAGACGAATTGTTTGCCACGATTGTTTGGTTTGTGTTTGATATAAGTTGTATGAGCATTGCAGTTTTATGAAATTAATAAAATATTATGAAGAAAGTTAGTGAAGAGTTCTACACAAACTCATCAGGACCCGAAACAGAGCTGTGTAGTACGTTCACACTGCCCCCTAGTGGACAGATAACTACACTGCAACACTTAAAGGGGGTGAAAGAAAGAAAAAAGTGGCTATTAGAAATAAGAGCAAGATAGATATAGACACAATATTTGAAGCAATTAATGTATCCCATGATAGCCATTGGTTTAAATTCTAAACAACAGAAAATAAGGTATGAATTATGAATGTATTTCTCTTCTAGAAAAGTCACTCAGGAGTCCAAAGTCACCTTGGACAACCAAACCAACCAAAGGCGATCGCATGAGCCAGCGTGTGCACAAGCTCCTTAGTGAGTGTGTTTTTCTGAGTGACTTCAAGCTCCTTCGCTGAGGTGAAGTGGGGGCAGATTTAAATGTGTAAAGAAAACGACCCCCCCCCCCTCCCCTCAGAGCCCCCAAAATGCCCACACAGGACTTTGACAATTGAAAAAACAAATTGATGTAATTTGCGGTGTTTCCCCTGTTTTTAAGTCACATGATGTATGTGTGAAAATGTGGCTGTGAGGAGTAATGGAGGTGTGCTGAGGATGATGAGAGGTCTGGATAAAGATGGTGGTTTTGGGGGATGGTGGGGGGGCACATGGGGGCCATACCAATACCCATGTGTGTGTGTGTGTGTGTGTGTGTGAGTGGGGTTGGGTGGGGGTTATTGAGAGGCACTGGGCTGGGGGTTAATCCCCATTCACCCCGTTCTTCACTCAGCCCGGCCGGGCACAATAAGCCCCGCCCGCCTCCCCCCCAATTCCCCCACGGTGACCTCTGACCCCACGTTTACCGACGCCGTCCCTGGCCTCTTTGCGGCTCCATCTTGTTATTATCTGCAATATTTACTCCTTCGGATTTCCCTGCTGCTCATTGTAGTTGCTCACACAGCGCTCTCGAGTGCTCCCCTTCCTACTCGAGCAAACCTTTAAACCCTCAGCAAACACCCCCCCAAAGTGGAAAAGAGTCCGCTTACGACAACTTATTCATGGCTTTTTGATTTAGCTCCAGCTTTAGTGTCCAGCTGAGCAGTCGTTGAATGGTCGGGATTTACCAACCGTACTAAAAGAAGAAGAGGTTGGAGACCACATTGACTTTCGTTCCAGTGTTCACAGTCCGCTCGTGGTCCCGGGCCGTTTACCTGCTGCAGTCTGGAAGGCACCATAGAGGTCCAGCTCTTTCACTGCCGTCCCTCTCCACGTTGCCATCTGCTGACTCTCCTGCAGGGCACCATTCTCTCACGCAAACACAAACACGTAAACGAAAAAGGTGGACGCGTCAGTCAAGACATGAATTAAGAGTGCACCACATAAACAAGAAGGGAACAAACTACATTATGACACTACGGTCCTGTCATAGATTGAAAAGTAGTACAACTGTACGTGGAGACGAAGGATCGTCTTGGATTGAGGACAGAGGGAAAAACAGATGGCACCAGTTGGTTCATATATTTACATGGCCCAGTAAATTGTAGTCAAACTAAACAGTACAATGTACGAGAAAAAAAGAAGAAGAGATGACTGTAAGGACCACAGAGGTTGAGGTAAACAAAGGCTTCAGATATGAGCTGGAGAAAAGAAAAACAAACAAATGTTTTTATGCGTTTATGTATCCCATAAATAGCGACTAGGGGCCATAGTTTAGTCGAAGCCACAGCAGAAAAGGATAAGTGGGTTGAAGTGAGCGACTCCTTTTCCTCTCTCACTCTCTCTCCCATTTCTTTGTGACTCGTCAGCATGCAGTTAAATGATATCAAAACGTGCCTCAGAGCCGGGATGACGCACTTAGCTTGGACCTTTCTGCAGGATTTTATGCAACTTTTACTTTTAGGAGGGCCAGTCAGACACACAAACGTGTAACTAACTGCATACAAAAAAGAAACACTTATATTATGTCAGAAACTGGTTTTGGCAAAAACATTACTAAGTAAGCAAACGTGATCGTAACAAACAAGAAAGGAACAAATCATTTATTCCATAATCACAATCATCATATACAAGCATCTGCAATGTGTGCTAAGAAACAGTGAGAACAAAAACACAAATGAAACACGTTTAATTCAGTCATTTAAAATGCATGTGTGGATAAAATATTAGCAAATTGGGTTGAATAATTGCTCGTCCTGTCACCTCACATGAGCAGACAAGGCAAACCACCCCTCTCTCTCCCTCCGTTTCTCCATCTGCTGTGGAACAAGAAAAGACGTTGGAGACCTCAGAGGTAACAGTTTGGATAAAACTTAATACTTCTATGTAATCTGTAGTGTGTTTGTGTACCTGTGTTTTGCCAGCTTTCATTTCTCCACCAAGACTGTTAGAAGACACTTCAGAACCAGCAGATCTGCACCACAGACATACAATGAAAAATGTGTGAATAAAATAGTTTTATAGGAAAGTCTTTTGAACAGAAAAAATAAAAAAAATTAACGAGCAAAGTTTGTGTAGAATGAATTCCTCAGGAAACATCCCCATCATCTAAAAAGAGCAACTCACCGTCTCCCCCCGACACCAGTCTGTGACAGCCGCTCCTCATCAGGCAGCAGCACAGACGCCTCAGGACTTCCTCCTGCAGCTGGGAAGGACAATACGATTATATTCTACTGTGACAAGCTGTTGATAAATGGAACCGTGTCCCAGTGAGCCCTCGTACCTGCTGAATGGGGGCTAAAAGCCGAGGGAGGGACGGGGGAACTAGAGGTAGAAGCTACAGTACTTTGCTTCTGCTGCTCAATAAGCTCCAGCAAGCGGTGCCTCGCCGCTGCACTTTGTCTGTTTAGCTCCAGGAGGCGCTGTTCCACACTGCTCATGTGGAGGCTGTCGGGTGATGTTGCCTGAGCGAGAGGAGAAACAAATCATTATTAAGTTTCAATACAGAAAAGCTCGATCTGTGTATGAGATAAAAAACTATTTTGAAGACAGGAAGCTTTACGTTTCAAAGACACCCGAGTAGGCCATCACCTCAAACCCACCTGGTCGGTCACCGGCTCTCCCTCAGCAGCCTGCACATGCCGACTCCTTCTCCCTGTGCTGCTGGATGCCGACATCCTCCCCTCTCCAACACTTTGGGGTGTGACTCTCCCCGCGCTGCTCCTCCTCTGCTCTGCGGCCTCCGACCTGCGGCTCTCAGCCCGGCTAAACTGGGCCCTGATCAGGTTGTTCTGTCTGGTCAGCTGAGCGATCTCCGCCCGCATGACCTCCGGGGAGAGCTGTGAGAGGAGAGGGTCGGAGGGTGGGGATAATGAGGAAGAGGAGGGGAGGCTGGCGAGAGGGAGGCTGGTTAGGCTAGAGGCAGAGCTGTGGGAGTGGACGTCCTCGCGGGAGCGCAGGATGTCTCCAGGAAGGTCCTGGTGAAGTTGTACAGAATGAGTCGCTGGAAAAGAGGCGGAGGAAATTAGGCTTCTCAAGGCTGATGGAGTGCCGATTACTCCAATAGACGTAGGCTGTTACCGGGAGCTTGTTGCCAGTTGTCTCTCTGGCGAGGAGGGGACAGCAAGACAGCGGGAGAGACGGACACTCGTGCTCGTTCAGAATGTCCCTTATCAACTGGTGCAGACTGGCAAACTGTTTGCAACATGACGAAAAAACAACAACAATTATGCACAATTTACTGGACACGTATCTGTGCAAGGACACAAACACACACCGTATGAACCTGCAGCTCTGGAATCAGAGTCCTGTGGCGGGTCAACGGGCGCCTCCAGAAGTCCGAGTCCCCCCATCAACAACACCACTGTGTCCAACTTCTCCTCCAGCTCCGTCGTCCGCTGCTGCAGCCCGGACTGAAGGAGAAACCGGCGGGCACACGGTTGGAATCTAGAGAGTTAAGCGGCGTCCGGCTGCGCGGTGAGCTCGTCTCACCTGCAGGGCGGCGGCCTCTTCCCTCAGAGCCATCGTCTCAGCAGTGAGCGCATCGATCAGCCCGCGCTGCTCCCTTGACACCTCCTCCAGGATTCTCCTCTCTCGAGCCTCCTCCTGCGCCTTTTCTTCCCTCTGACGACAGGTTGGTGGATGTTAGGAAAATTAAAAAGGGATGCTCCAGTTTTAAGTAAATACTCTTATGGGTAGCCAAGGTTTTCCATTCATGTATTTGAAACTTGGTTGAGTTGAGCAATATATCCAAATGTACACCTCGCCTGCTTTTAGTGATCTCAGAGCTGTACACACTTTGGCTCTACAATGAGATCAAAAAAAAAAACCTAACCCTTTAAAGACATTAATAGAAATAATAGCTCAACAAACCAAGCGATGGTTATGTTACTGATTAACAGATACGTCATTGGATCAATTCCAGTACCTGTTTGAGCAGGTGCACCAAACGCCCCAGAGTGGAGACCAACGCGACGGAGAACCCTGTGAGGCCTTGAGCTTTATCCGTCTTCTGACTCTGCGCTGAAGCTGGTTCAGTGGCAGGAATCAGAGTATCCAAGTCGGCCTCCACCTGCCCCAACATGGTCTGCAACAGGCCCAGGCTGGACTGGTCCCCACTGAGAGAGGCGACCGATGAGCCATCCAGCGCCGACCTCTGGGAAACACCATTCCTGCCCCTGCTGGTTCGACTACTGATTCTGCCTGATGTGCACATACAGAGAAACGCTCTACTGTTTTATGCAGCATTTCGCGGTTCATAAGATGGAGCATTTGTCACAGAGGGACGAATTATGAAAACACGGATACCTCTGTGATTTTACCTGACTGGTTAAGAGGAACGTCAGGGTTCAGGACTTGAGAAACCAGGACCTCCGGTTCCTCCATCCCTTCCTCGGACTGGCTTCGCCTGGACCGGAGACGCTGAACCGCCATTGTGGCGTTCAGAGCTGAAAGAAGGTGAGATGAGTTGACAATATTTTTCTCTTGTGACGTCTGAAAGAAATTCTTTCACGGATATCGTTCTCCTCATCGTCCTACCTGCTTGAGCCGATGCTCTCCCTGATGTGCAGGGGGTCACAGGATCATTATCCCTGCCTGCCTGCTTGGAGTTGACTTTCTGTCGCTGTACCAGCCTGCCTCGAGACTGCGCCTTCATTTTCTGAACATTGTTCCTGCAAAGAAAAGTATTACAAGCGAGTGTTATGGTGTCAACAGACGCATGTATTATATTCTCTCCCAAAAGGAGGGAACACAAGTCAGTTCAATTGCTTTGCAGGTACGATATTTCACAGGCATTACCTGCGGATTACATCATAGTCTGATCTGCCTGTAGGACCAGGATCTTCATCACTGTAGTCTTCCTCTGAAGCTTCAAGTTCATTAAGAGCCTAAAAGGGGACATTTTATATAAATTAATACAGAACAAATTCAGCAAGAAACTATAACTAGGATGTAAAAACAAACATTGTCATTAGGCAAGAAAATACACAATTATGGATGAAAGCTGATGGAAACATAAGTAACAAATCAAAAATGATTGACATTGTCTTGGCACAAACACACACTCATTCACACACCGACCTGCGGGTCCATCAGAGACTGGCTGAGCAGTGACAGCTGAGTTGGAGGATCAGGTCGTTGTAGCACCGGCAGCCCGGAGTCAGAGTCACAGTTTGGAGCCATCGTCACACTGGGGTGCCCTACGGGAAGACAAAAAACACTCCGTATACAACTCCAAAAAAACCAACAACAAAAAATCCCAGTTTAGTAATAAACATCTAATCACTGCGGAAATGATCTTAAATGAGAAGCTTTGGGATGTATGTCGACAGGCAGGGAAGAGGCAAAGACGTGCATGTTTTGTTCACGTATCATTTATACAACTACAGAGTGAATGAAGAAGATTCATACCAGTCTGCCTGCGTGGAGCATCTCCAAACAAGTCTTTGACAACAGCCATGGCTCTGTCAGAGCGAGCCAGCACATCCTGAAGCAGCAGCTGATCAGAGAACACCTGCAGCAGTAACACACACCATGAGCAAAAGCCCTTTGATGCACTGAGCACTTCAGTAGATTCACACTTTAAATGACTTATGACTTCTGAACGACAAACATTAAGACACCAAAGAAGTCACAAAAGGGTAAACGGGAACTCGTCGTCACACGTGCCTCCCTGATGATGCTGAGGCTGGCGTCGTCCAGAGGAGCGGGGCTCCCGGCGCGCCTCAAACGGCGCTGCAGATCTTTTTCTCTCAGCTCCCACTGAGCCGCCGCCCTGTTGTGGGACTTGTGGATCTCGTGCCGATGGATCTGAAGCAGCGGGGATTAATGAGACACGCAAACGTGGGATGGAAATAAGCGCTACATTGATGTTCACATGCATAGTGTGATGAAACAGCATGCATCGCTCCGCCACGCTAATAACTTACCAGCTCCGCAGGTGACGCCTTGTGCACAGACAGGTCATTGACAGTGCTCTGAAACCATCAGGAGAGGGCGGACATCACTTAACTTGCTTAAAAAGATTACTTTGCAGCAAACATGAGTGGAAGATGCTCTCAGTTGTCTGGTAACTCTAAATAATCCTATCACTAGCTGCATAATGTATTTGAGACAACCATATTACAGGAACACAGCAGGTGGAGCAGATGTCAGGACTCACCACCCAATCTCTCCTGGGAGCTGCTGCTGCTTTCTTGGGTCGAACGGGCCGTTTAACTTTGTGTTGTTGTGGACGTCCGACTCTCACCAACGACATCTGCTTTCACGGACACGATGGCATCAGTCCAATGACTTCTTTTACACGTGTCACATATTTAATAATCAATATACCAGCGCGTGGGTTGAGTAGATACAATAGTCACGGATATAACGTTCTTAACCAGTGACGTCAGCTGTAACGTGTTAACGCCGAAATGTGATTTCATACAAAGATTGAGGTCGCAGTTAACGTCAGCACTTACGTTACGCGTTAGGAAGACACTCTTAGTTCCATAAAGTTGACTCTGGATCTGACAAAGTTGAAGAGCATCAAAATCTCCTCTTCGGGTTCGTCGTGTGTCCGTTTTTCAACCGTCGCGCGCCACTTCCGTTGCCGTGACCGCCGCTTCACCGTGGAGCATCACGGGAAATGAAGTTTTGTTGAGCGAGGACGGTTCAGCGTTGGAAGAGGAATTATCGAAAAATGAAAAGTGGTACCCGTGGATGTTAAACCGCCAGGATGATTATGATTATTATTTATTTTAAAGCTATAGTTGATGTTGTAGCTAGCTTGTGGCGAGGGGACTAACGGCGTTAACGCTAAATGCTGCTGGGTAGTGTAGTTATTACATTATTAATTATTACAAATTACATGTCATTTAGCTGACGCTTTTATCCAAAGCGACGTACAATAAGTGCATTCAACCATAGGGTACGTAGTTCACTGGTGGAAGAAATCCTCAGATCGTTAGCAGCAGTAACACAGTGTAATAATATTCTATTGCAAACAAAGTCCTGCATTCTTACATTGTATGAGCAAGATGTAGAATACAATATGCGAAAATTGTTTGGAGATTAATTGACGTGTAACTGTTAAGTAGTTAGTAGCAAGTACTAAAGTAGAAGTATCTTAACTAGTTTAAACATGTTGCCTCTGGTTTGCAAAGAAGCAAAGATCTATCAACTCCACTAGATGGCATTGGCGCCATGTGCGTAAAGGCTGGTAAGCTCCCCATGTTGGCGAGGGCCGTACAGGGACGTCCAACAGCCCAAATCTCAGATGCTTTTTTGGAGACAACCAAGCCAAACAAGGAGGAAGTTTGATTGAAGTTGGGTAAAAGAAAGAAACAAAAGAAGTTTCCTGAAGTAGATCGTAAAGATGACAAAAACAAGGCTGTAAGTCACCGAACAAAATCAAATTAGCTAAATAAATAATTCATTTTTCCTCCTTCTCTTCCAAATTCACCTTATCAGGGTACTTTATTTAAAATCACCCATTAAAGTTACAACTTTCGACTTTTATTCTCACATACAATCGGAAGTTGAGTTTTACTCTTTGCATCTCGATAAACTTGTTTTTTTTATCGCTCGATTGAGAGGTCGTGTGTTTTGCGTTTGACTTTTACACGCCCCCCACCCCCTCCTCCCCCCTCCTCCCCCCCACACTCACTCTGACGCAAAGTCCGATAGACTCTGCGCGCTTTGGTTCAATCGGGTCACACTGACCCGGAGTCGGCGGACCGAGTTCCGACGCCCAGCTATGCAGACCGAGCTTCGGAAGTTTGAAACCTTGTCTTCGCGCACGTTGCCGGCTGCGGAGGGTCTCGGGAGTAAACAGCAGCATGGATCAGGCTAAAGGTTTTGGATTCTCTGCATCCCTGTGGAGAGCCATTTGAAGCGCCAGGAGACATGAACAACCTCGCTGCGGATCAAGCGGAGACTATTTAGTCTTTCTATACTGGGTTTTTAGCTTTGGGTGAATTTCTGTTCACTTTCAAAGCAAACATCGTTGTGTTCTCTTGGATAATACCCCATCCAGACCGCGGAGTCACTTTTGGAGACGTTACATCTGAATTACGCACGAGATTCCTCTAACAAATGACAACTTCTAAGCGGTTTATTGCTCCCTCACTTCATCCCCTCGCCTCCCTGCATCGCAGCGACCCACCGCACCTTCACCCTCCTCCCGAGGCCGGCGGCCGGCAGTGAAAGCCTCTCCGGCTCCTTCAGTGCGCCGGGGCGCGCGGCCCACCATGTGGGGAGGAGGCTTCCCGATGTCCGGCACGGCGATTGTGACTCTGCTCCTGGTGGTAATCGACGTGAAAGCCAGCGGGGAGTACTGCCACGGCTGGCACGACTCCCAGGGCGCGTGGAAGGAGGGCTTCCAGTGTCCGGAGAAGATCGACGCGGTGGACGCGATCATCTGCTGCGGGAAATGCGAGCTGCGCTACTGCTGCTCCAGCACGGAGGCCCGGCTGGACCAAGGGAGCTGCGATAACGATCGGCAGGCCAAGGAGGCCGGGGAGGAGGACAAGGAGGACAAGGACTCCGGTGCAGGTATATTCACTTCTGCTGGTTCATCAACTTCCACCACAAATGGGTAGATAAGCATGAGCGTCACCGGTGTACTTAATACAACTTGTGCGTATCAGCTCAAACAGTGTGCGAGAGGGAAAATGGCAACTAAAGAAAGTGATTCACGTGCATGGAGGTGCTTCATTATTTGTTAATAAGGTTCATTCTATTCAATGTAATGGGAACTGACTCATCAATTACCCCGGGGGTGCGTGCGCAGAACGCCTTAAATTGGATAGTGCAAATTGCAAAGCTATCGCACGGGTCGGTGCCCCCTCCTACAAACCCAAAACAGTCCCACAGTCTGTCCCTGGTAAAAACCCTCATCTGTTGCCTGTCCCGGTCGGCATCGACAGCTGCTCAGGAGACCGCAGCAGACTCCCCCAACAAAACAACCAAAACAAACCTGTTAACTGCCCTCACAAATGGCAAACCGTTTCCTGCGGCACTTATAAATAGCTTTTGTTTGTTCTGGCCTCGAGCGAGAGGGACCGTGGGCTCAAATCGCTCCGGGGATCGAGGTTTGGACTCGACCGGATCTCGGGACGGCGGCTCACTAACGCCGCTGACAGCTGGGACGCACATTGCGTCATGTGTGATTCCCCGTCCGGCTCGTGGATTCCTCTCATCCTCCCGATGTCTACCTGGTGTCTGTGGTCCGTCCAGGCATTCTCACCCAAAGCTGCTTTAAACGAGAACTCACATGCACAAGCTGTATTCAAGAGAGGCAGAAGAGAGACAATATGATTTAGGGGGGGATTAGGTTATGATACATCTTCTTTTTCCACAATGGCTCCTTATTCATCAGTGCTTACATTCCCATAGATTAATTTACCATAAAGCCTCTGGAGGCCCGGTCATATCTTTAATAAAGATTAACAAGTAGCGGCACTCAGGAAAGTAGAGCAATATATTGAAGCTCAGAGAGAAAGGCAACACAGGCTTCATGTTTCCCTTGAGGATATTAAAGCTCTCTTGTGGACCTTTAGCTGCGTCCTTTGCTAAAACAATCATGCCTTATCACTGCGGGCAGATGTATCCATTTCATCCACGGGCCTTCGGCCATAATAAATTCAAGTATAAAAGCAGCTTTCCCCCCACTAAGAAGCACTAAGAGGAAAGCCCCGTTCGTTTTGTGCATTTCACTCATTTGTCATATGTTTGCGGCCTATTAATCATCCGGGGAAAGAAACACACCGTGTTGTCAATGGATAACCGGCAGGAAATTATTAATGTGCTCAACATGAAGGAACATATGGTATTTAGGAACAGGAGAAATCCCACGGGGGAGACGAGAGAGAGTCCAGCCAGCACTGGCACAGGGATGTGCCCAAAACAAGAGCTTATAGGAGAAAGGGGGGGGGGGAGTCTGTTACTTGGCCGGCTGCTTTACAGCTAACTGCAGCAACAGGTGTGGACGAGTGACAGGGAACCATAAAGGGTTCAGAATGAGAAAATCACACCTTGGCAAGTGGTGAAGCAATAGAGTCCTTTGTGAAAAGAAACCTATATACTAGACAGTTAAAACATACGTTTGACAAAGTGAGAAACGTTCTCCAGATGTCTCCAGAGTTGCATTTACTCACGTAGTCTACTTCAGTATTTGTACTTTCCATTTTGGACTTTTGCTTGGCTTCGACTCACTAAGAGGGAAATGTACTTTTTACCTAATTACTCCAACCGGTTTCTGCTGTGTTTGGTGCTAATTAACATTAACTCTATAAAGAATATGGTGAACATGGTTGACATTCGCCACTTAGCAGGGCTATTAGCATGTCGTTGTTAGCATTTAACTGAAAGAAACATTTTACCGTTAAGACCTTTTCTGCTGATACTCTGATTATTTTTTCTACCTCTTATTTATTTGATTTGCTGCACTGATATTTTTTCACACTTGAGTGCAGCCCGTCGTGTAGACGCAAGGGACGAAACATGAACAACTACTAATCCTCGTCGGCCGCGCACGAAAAGGGGGAGTGGAAGCAGATGAGATGTTGAGGTGGAGGCCTTATAAGTGCAGGAAAATTGAGCATATATGTGCGTTGCCGTAACAGAGTTCCCGTTGAAACCTGTTTACTGGAAGGTGTGCGGCGGCCGAGAGGTACATCGGCCCGTGAAGTCAACGGGAGAAGGGTCAAGGTCCTCGTCGGTTTCATGTCACCACCGAGTCCCGGGCCTCTTTCTGTCTCTTGTCACCTGGTCTTACCGCCTCACTTAATAAATGTCCCCTAGCTTAACAGCTTTCACGCAGTAATCCGTTTAATACCCCGGCTACTTTTGGTGAGCGTTTTGAAAAGTTTCTCAAGGCCGTGTGGATGTATTTCAAAGAGACAAAAGGAAACTGGAGTCCGGTCGCCACCTCTCCCGCTTTGGCATAAAGTTACAACTCATAACACATGGGCATATTCAAAGGGGGGGGTTGGGGTGGGGTAACTACACCCTGCGGGAACAATAAAGCACAACTTATCACTTGTAACATGGACATTATTCTGTTTGAGAGGTGTTTGTGAAAGTGAGCAAGGGAAATTAACAAGAGAGAGAAAAAACACACCCGAGAAGTAACGTCATCTCACCCCGGCTCTGCCAAAAACATTCTCTCGGAGCCTAGAAAACGAAAAAGCCTGTAACTGTTTATACGGTTATTTTTGATCGTGCTTTTGGCGCTTCATCTGTTCATGTAGCTAAATGACCAATATCCAACTGAATCTTGAGATCTTAATGGACAAAATGTTCCGATTTATATCTGTTTATTGATGCTTTTACTATTTAGCTTAACAAATCAGAATCATTGGTCCAATAAAGTACTGTCCTGCAAGTAAAACAATTTAAAAAAAGAAATTGGCCTAGTGCTTTGATTTAAAGAGCTGAATAAGCTCCCATTCAGCTCCATTAAATCAGCCAACTTTAATACCCTTCTTTAAGCAGAAGCCAACTACAGCAGTTCAACTTGAGTAACTTATTTTCAAAGGAGTCGGTCATAAATAGCCAAGTTATAAGAAGGGTCACATATGTCTGCTGGCAGCCGGGCCTTAAGAATGTCACCGCTGCAAACACACACACACACACACACACACACACAGGTCCACAGGGTCGGGGAGGCTGGGGACACAGCAGGGTGCTGAGGATTAAAACAGATCAAAACAAAGTTAATAACTGCTAATGAGAGCCCGGGGCCCCCCGGGGACTCAGTCCACCTCTCATTCTTCTACCCGAGTCCAAACACTCCACTCTGCTCACTCTCTTTTGTTCCACTGTCTTACCCAACCTCCGCTCACATGCAGGAGTTTTTATTGTGAAGGCAAGCGAGACCCCTGTGTGTGTGTGTGTGTGTGTGTGTGTGTGAGAGACGCAACACTGCCTTGAGGGTTTAATGTTCAACTCAGAAGGTCAATGTTTTTGCCACAGAATTCGGATCTGACAGCTGTGTTCTTCTCCTCTGTGCGCAGTGCCCATCTATGTGCCGTTGCCTGATCGTGGGCTCGGTGTTTGTGGCTTTCGTCCTGGTGGGCTCCGTGGTCGCCGTGTGCTGCTGCCGCTGCCTCCGTCCCAAGCAGGAACCGTCCTCGGGAGGTGCCGCGGGAGGAGGAGGAGGAGGAGGGGGCAGCGGCCGCCTCTTGGAGACCATCCCTATGATGGCCAGTGCGGGGACCTCCAGGGGCTCCTCCTCACGCCAGTCCAGCACGGCCACGTCGTCCAGCTCCTCCGCCCCGCCCACCGCCCCCCGCGCCGCCCTCATGCGGGCTCAGGCCTCCTGCTGCCTGCCCCCCGACGCCAGCGTCTTCGTCAACATGCCCACCAACTTCTCCGTGCTCAACTGCCAGCAGGCCACGCCAATCATGCCTTCACCAGGGACAGTTTCTCCACCCGCAGTACATCGGCTACGCCCACCCGGCCCAAACCTACCTGGACCCCACTCAGGGGGGATACAGACCCCTCCAGTCCCCCTGCCCGCCTCCCAACGGAGGCGGGTCCAGCATCACCGGGGACCAGAAGTACCCCCCGCTGACTGTATGATGAGGAGCCAACCTGCAGACCTCGCTCTTTTTTTTTTTTTTTGTGAAGTTTTGTGAGTCATTTCGGGGGACGCTGCCAGAGTGGAAAAAAGAAGACTCGGACTCACACGAAGGACTCATAAACCTCCTGCTGGCTGCAGGCCCTGCCTGGCTGTTGTGTGTGTGGGCGCGCGCGCTGTGTGTCCGTTTAGTGTGTCGTATGATCTCTACGCGAGTTGGAACCGATGGCGGATGCGTAAACAATGTTCTGTCCGGCTGCAAAGAGGAGGGTTATGCAGCCCAGATGGGTGACGGTGCACCGCTCGCTGCGGCTCAAACAAAGGCCGCGCAGGTGTTTGTGTTTGTGCGTGCGTGTGGGAGTGAGTACTTTTTTTTAATTTGCTTTATTTGTGCTGGAATGAGTGATGATGACTGGATGATTTATAGCAGTTAAGTATATATTCAAGCAAGAAACGATTACGACCACATGCTGTTTATGCCATGTGCACATCTGCACCACGTGAATGGTTGTGAGTGGTTTATAAAAGAACGGTATGTCTGTTTGTGTTGAAAGCGTGAGGAAAGCAAGCATGGGAACGATTGTACTCTACGTGTGTGTGTGTGTGTGGTTGTATGAGTAACTATGTAATGGCAAAAGCAGGTGGTGTAATGTGAAAGGCAGTTGCCGTCTCCCTGTAGACCATTTAAAGTCTAATGAAGTGAACACGGGACACAGACTGTGACGCTCCACCCGACAGTACAAATCACCCCCCCACACCACTGCCACCCAAAAAGAGAAAAAATGTAATCCCCACTGCACTGAGCGGAAACACAGACCTCCTAAATGTTGAATCCATGCAAGGATGGCGGTCAATGTATATGAGAAGGGTGTTTGTGTGTGTGTGTGTGTGTGTGTGTGTGTGTGTGTGTGCGAGGGAAGCAGTGAGGAGCTCTCTGAAGATTACCAAGTTAATCATTCAGCATAAAGCTGCCGGCTTCCTTTCTCCCCCTGTGGGAAGTGTGTGTGCGCGTGTATTTAACGCTACCACGGCTCAGTGCGTTAGCGGGGGCCTCGGGCTGCTTGGACTCATTATTTCCCACTTAAGAACAGAACAGAAATGGAGGTTGCTTGTTTATCTAAAAATAAAAAAAAGATTTAAAAAAAAAAGGTCAAGCGTTGCGTTATTTTCCCTCAGCGTACAGTACATCTCTGCCACATGCGACTTGAGGAAGAGCCGATAGCCTCGACGCAGAAGACAAAATAATCTGTAAAACGATGTATGAAATTGGTCCAATTTGACGCAGGAGTGACATTTTTGATTCTAAATAAATAAACAACTTTTACACAGAAGTGATTGTGTGGCGAGCTTCTGTGTGTGTTGATCTTTCGTCACCTTCGTTGCCATTGACCTCTCGGGTGAGGGACCGGGTGAATGGGTTTGTCTCCCACTGTTAATTCCCTTGAAACACAAACACACCGATAGCTAAGCAATTAGGAACACTAATTACACACATTCGCAGACAGCTTTACCACCCACAGTGGACGGCCACATCACCCGAGGAGGGACAATGCAGCACAACAATGGTCCGTTTACAGCTGTGACCGTGTGGAGGTGTCACTTTGGCGGACGCCTCCAGAAACTACAGGCAGGGTTAAGATCTCTAAATGGCTCTGTGGCTCCTCCGGCCCCGCTGGATGGATTCTCCACGCTGGAGAGCAGCTGGAGTCGGTTTGGGTTCAGCCAAATCCAGGAAGGTGGGCGGGAAAGACATTGGGGGAGAGGGAGTGATTCAGTTCCCGTATGTACAAGATATGCTTTTTAAAAATAAATCATTTTTCAGCATGTAGTGAAGACGCCCAGAGCCAGTTTGACGAATAAATCAAACACTTCCAGTTAAGAGACAGAGACATTTAGTCAGGCCATGGATTAATTAGATTTAATGATTAGGACTCGGATGGACAACCCCCACCCGTTCAGTCTTGCATTCCCATCCTCAACACAGTCTCACACACACACACACACAATGGACTCTACGTTGGGACAAACCGCAGAGCCGCAAAAACACATGATCTAGGCGAGTGTCTCAATCAGATCCCTTCTGTTTGGATGCGTAGTAGCACTGTTTCAAGTAAAATATTCCCTACAGGACAAGTCTTCACATACGAGTACAAAAACAGGCGTTAATGAAATGAGAAAAAAAAAATACAAAATACAAACACATACACGTTAACTTTAATAATAAAAAAAGAAAAGAAATGAGCAGTCCAGTAAGGAATGGAAAAAACTAACTGAGGAAGCTCTAATGCCAGACTCACTGCCTCCCGAGTCAGCTGACGAGGCTTGACGGGCAGCATCAGGAATTACGGGAGGGGTCAAAAACAACAGGAAACAACGTGGATTGTTAAAAACTGGCCGAGATGAGGAGACGTGATAAGAGGGGGGGGGTGGAGGGGGGACGTGGAGGAGCGGCTGGGAGATGGAGCGATAGGGGTGAAGACATGAAGATACAAGGAGGGATAAGCAAGAGGACGTCCCGGTGTGGTGGGAGGGGCAGCGGCGAGGCGGTGGTCCGGTTTAGAGCGCTCTGCCTCAGTGAAATCTCCACGGTGTTTGGCAGTGAGGCTTGTTGCTGCGATGGGACGGGAGGGGACGGGAGGGGGGGTCTGTAGCTGGGGTCCAGGGCTCTGGCGGTCCTCCCTCTTTCCTTTCCTGTATGGAACTCATCAGTGTGTGTGTATGTTTCAGATGTCAGAGAGGGGGGGGGGGGGGCGAGCCGTGGAAGCAAACACACATGCACACAAACACAGGAGCGCAAATGCGTGCAGGCGTACATGCACGGGCAGATACAGACACACACACACACACACACACACACCCACGGATAACACAGCGGCATGAAGCAAACCCAGTCTGGGGGGCGTACAGGGATGAGCAGCAGTCTCTGGCTTTGCCTCGTCGTGTCTGTGCGTAGATAGGTTGCTCATGCCTGTGCAGCTTATGGGGATTTCAAGAGTTTTGTTTTTCACGGAGTCGGCCTGGTCCCTTCTCTCAAGTGAATCCTATGTGCGCCGGCCTTCGCGGCTGACCGTGACACCCCCCTTCCGGCGGAGGGGGTCGGGTCATAGTTCCGTTAAGGCCACAGCGAGGATGCGGGGGAGGGGGGTCGATCCCCCCCGTGCGAGGGTGTCACATAAGTCTGTCTCCGCTGTCCCCTTGATAACCGTTGCCTCGGATCGGGGGGTGGCGCTAGAGGCTGGGGCGTTCGCGTGTGGTGTCATAGGAGCGCACTACCTGGGATTGGGAAACGACGCCGTGCTCCTCTTGAGAGAAGGCGTAGCCGTCTGCAGGGAGAGACAACAGGAGGGACGGACCCGTCATTGAGGGAGGAAGATTGGACACCTGATGTATTGCGGTGTAGTACAACAGCAATTTAGTTCATGATAAGTCCGTCAGATTTTCAAAAGCTGGCATTTGATTCAGGAATGACATATTGGATCGCTCTACTCAGTGTATATGTTCTTGCTCTAAACCCAATTTGTTGTTTCTGGGCTAAAAAAAATATAGAAATATGGAAAAGCACTGCTTTCTCTCATATAACACCCTTAATATATACGTAAACAAGCAAACTAATCTGTAAATATGTAGTAAACAGAGCTCAAAATCCTGAGTGAATACATTGAATACATTGTTCATTCTTGCATTTAAGAAAGTGTTTTTAGGTCTATTCCGTGTAACGACAGGAACATTAGCATTTCATTTTATTTAATTTTATTACTTGTGCACTGCTGTCTTGTTGTCTATTGTTATACTGTCTACTGTCACGCACCAACCGCAAGTCAAATTCCTTGTATGAAATATTTTGGCAATTAATGTTTCCTGATTCCTGATTCCTGACAGGACGGGACACTGAATCTCAGTCCTCGGCTGACCTCACAGTGCAGTTGGAGAGGAGACTCACGTGACACAGTCTGCTGCACCGAGTTGGAGCGTCCGACGCTGGAAGGCGTTTTCTTAAAGACTCTTGTCAGCAGATGGGCCCGTTCGTTTAGACTGCAGAGAAAGGAAAGCGGGATTAGTCACTGCACTGCCACATGATGACAATGATGATAACAAGACTCACCACTACTGCACAAAACCAAAACTAGCTGCTGGGAATGTTTTTATTTGGGAGTTTATTAGTGAACATAGTTCAACAAATTGCTTTTAGTTAAGAGAAGTGGCAGGTTGTCAAAATATAATTAACTTAACTGACTGAACGGCAGCGGGATTATTTAGTATTGTTTTAACCTTTGACTGCCCTTGAATTAATCTCTGAATGATTGAGACAAAAGTATGTTTCTCCTTCAAAGATGAACACAGAAACACACGCATTAAAGATGTAAAACCAGAAAGTTGGTATAAAGTGGATCGGACACTGACTTTTTCCTGACGCGCAATTTCAACCCAAGAAGTCCTACGCTGGCTGCAGGGTAACAGGACATCCACAGTAAACTACTCCGCCCCCCCCCACACACCACCACCACCACCACCCTTCTCCCCCTTTCCAAGAGGAAGACTGGCTCCTCTGTTCGGAGACCACACGCCGTCACGGCTCCTCTCCTCCTGTGACCAAAAATAACTAACTCCTTTCCAGATATTGCACACAAATGCGTGCACTGACACATTTTTAGTTGATACCTCTGTCCGTTCTCATCAACATAGTCGCATTCATTAAAGTCCCTACGCAGAGGCGTAGGAAGAAAAACACCTCATCAGTTTTTACCAATTTCATTTAAAGGGTACGTTTTCTACATTCATCTGCCAATGGACACTTGTGATGATTCAAAGATACGTTATGAAGAAAAGCCAGCCTTCCTATGATTAAGATTTGGATCAGGGTGTTTGGAAACTCTTTATACTGAATGTGAATGTTGGGAACCTTCACGAGAGTGTAGGTCAAAAAGAAGAAGAAAAGTGCTGAACAACTTCTGAGTCAGATTACCTTTTTGTTTTGGAAAAAAGATTAATATAACCGTGCAATGATACAAAAAAATGGACAACAAGTCTTTTTTTACTTAAAGTACTGAACATCAACAAAAGTAAAGCACTCATTATGCAGAATGCATATTATTGATATAGACGTGTATGCTGCATTGTAACGTTGTAGTTGAGGTGGCGCTTTATATATGCTGACATTTTATTTGTATTTTATTTATGATATTTATGTTACAAATCTTAAGATTATGTCAAATCTGAACATTCAAGTCATCTACAAAATAAATAAAGTTAAAAAAATATATATTTTCCAAACTTAGTAGAAATGAAGCAGCTTAACCTGTGAACACCTTACGACTATTTACTTTTTTTTTTGCTTAATTCTACCAGTTCTAGCAAACAGTCAAACCTCTAAAAAAGATTATAATGTATAGCCAAATAATAATTTCTACCACACCTCTAGCCATCACAGCTAAATCACAGAGAGAGCTACAGACAGATTCAGAAAACACACCAGGTCTGTACAGCAATTCATATTGATCCACCTATGAGGCAATCCACAGGTGGAAAAATGGAAATAAGGAGAGAAATTAAATCTTAAAATGATTTAGAGGACAAAAGGTGACTTCAAGACAAAGCAAGAGAAGGGTGAACTCAGATAATGGAAAACAAGCGAAGGTCACTCCAAAGCAGCCTGCAGTGGGGCACACAGGTCACTGAGGTCACAGTTCACACAGTGGGACAATGCCAACCCAGAAACTACCTCTGTGAGCATGTGACAGCTGTGGCTCTACGGGACCTCGGCCGGGGCTTCGGCCCTTTGGACGGCGCCACCGGGGAGCAAGAATTTATATTACACGCACTTTTGAAATGTTCACCTATGCATTCCAATGCAACACGATACAACAGCTCTGCAACACATCCTGTGAAAGATTAGACCAGGTTTCTATTTCATATTTTACTTTTGGAGGTTACATTCTACTGTATGTTTATTATTGAGGTCGTAGCTCGTAGTGCTGTTGCACTGGGCTGCGTTTTATAGTTAACACGTTGGTGAAAAATATTCCAACAACACCTCTGAATAAGTAGGAGTTCATAACGGTTAAATACTGAATCTGCACATGTGCATAGAGTGCTACTATGTATGTGATAGCTGATTATTCTTGTGTAAATCATTATAAATAAAAACGAAAAGCGAAAATGAAAATCAACAAAAATCCATAGAAAAAACTGATCGATAACACAAATAGAAAATATGATGCTTTTTAGCACACTAGGCGTACCTGCGGCCGCTGGCGTCCCTGAGTACAGCTGCCCCTGGGTCCACCGCACGGGCCTCCAACTCCTGCACCTCCTCCAGGAGAGACTTCCTCACGGTGCGACGTGTGCTGCGGGGCAGAAATAAAGCTCGTCAGACCCAAGAAGGAAAGTCTTGTGTGTGTTACTTTGCAGACACATGGGATTCATGATATATAAGTGTGCGTAAGTGTTGACACAGACTCAGTGTGGGTAATGTAAACGGTTGAGTTCAAATTGCCTCTGCGTGGATATCCCGGGTATTTATATTAAATGTGCTCTACTTACGTGATCCAAGCGAAGTCTTTGACTAAACACGCAGTGGGCACCAGGACCAGGCCCAGCCAGAAGTACCAGCACTGCATCACCTTGCCAGCCTGCGATGACAACACACAGCCTCCATTTATTTCGCTCGTATATTAATTCAAAACGAGTATTAAGTCATTTTTCTCTGCAACGGGCGCAGGGAAATACATGTGGAAAAGGCCAAGAGAAATGTGAGACAAAGCACATTGAAAGCCATTCAAAGCAGAGTCAGCAAGAGCAGGATATCCCCAAACTGTAACTACACCACCACACTGGATTTAACACAAGATCCCCGCAGCTGATATACAATGCTGCCATGCTGGAAACGATAGTGAGAGACCACAGATTTCCGCTTGTTTCCGCGGTCCAGCTGCAAACTGCCTCCTAAACCTTTGACCTTAATCTTCAGCCTCCTTCCGTCTCCAGGGATCAACCATGCATCTAACCGCTGTCAGTGCTTCTCTCCGTCTGTGCGCCTCACTCCTACACATCCCTCACGTCTTACTCTTTCACAACTTCATTCATTAGTGACGGTATCTTACGTTGCTTGTCCTCACCTGTTGCTGCAAATCCCTCCATTTTATTCCCTTTATTGCCCAATACCTCCGCCCCCCCTCCTTTAGTTATTTGCAAGAGCTCTGTGTAGTTTCTTGAACCCAAATCAAATCGTTGTCTCTGGGAGTTACTGTTTGAGTAAACAGTCAAACATTTCATGCGCTTAACTTCTACTACTTTATTGGCCGTATCGCGTTTTCCCGTGTCCTGTTTTCTTTTCCTGAAATAGCGATAAATCTTCCCAGGGGAAAAATAAATATAAATAATGGGAAAATGAATCTGACAAGCATAAGGAAAAGTGCTCTGCAGCAGCTGGAATCACATCCGAGTCACATATGATCCAAATGGAATCAACCATCCTTGTCTTTCTGTATGTGACAAACAAAATTCCCTCTAACAGCCCTGCACACGCATTACATCACATGGTCTTTATACACTCGGAGGACAGAGGAATGCTTAATCATTTCTTTTCTACTCAGAAACTGAGTGCTGGTCTCAAGCACCACTTTACAATCAACACAAACCACAGGTACCTGGACGCACAAAGGGCTTTAAATTGAATGTACACACACACTTGCTATGGGCATCCTGTGTCCCCTATTGACGGATGGATATATAGATAACAGACCTGGGGAAACAAGAGAGGTAATGGGGGAGGGGGTTGTGGGGGCTCAGTGTCTCTGACCACTCCCCAGTTAGACCGAGCAGCTGCAGAGATATTTGACCACATTCCGGATTTCTGACACAAATCGAATTAATGAGCCGAGGGCAGTTCAGACGGCCCTATTCCCTTCTCCTCGCAAGACTCCCCCCATCTCCCCCGCCGCTTCAACAAACTCGAAAGACGAGTCTTCCTATCAAGGGATCCCTGCGTACACTCTTGCCCACGGCCCTCTGGATCCTCATCGCCGCCACGAGTGGACCCTCTTGAGTCAACACCTCCACAGAGGGCAGTAAAAAAAACGGGGGGATCGGGTGACACGCAGCAGGTGCAGGAAGCCTGGTGAGTGGGGCTGGCGAGGCATAAATCTCCCCCGTGGCTCCAGCAGTGCCGACGCGGAACACCCAAGAGGAGAGTCTCGCAGGCGCCATGTAATGGCAGCCGAGAACAAGGGAGGGGCAGGTGATGGAGGTGGCAGAAAAGAGACGTCAAAAGGAGGAGCTATTTTAACCCACCCACCCCACCCCCGTCACATGTTCACGCAGAGGGACTTGCCTGGCCCAGCATGTCGGGGGCGATGGGGATGGTGGGCCAGATTGCAGAGTAGACAGCGAAGAAGACCATCCAGAGCACCATGCTTCCCCACACCGCCAGGTGGGAAAACTGAGAGAGAGAGAGAGACAGACAGGGAGAGGGAGGGAGACCAAGAAGGAAGGCCAATAAAAAAAGGAAGCCCACGGCGTGGAGTGCAGGAGAGGATTGAGATGAAGAGACAGAGGAGAAAGACAGCGTAAGGTCAAATAGTTCTTCCGAATATACACAACCTTTCCCTCGCTCCTTCCCACATCTCCGTACTGCTGCTCTCTGTGATCCTCTGAAACGGGACACTGTGTGAATTCCAGCGGGACCCTGCTTCATTACCGCCGGGCTGTTGTGTGGACAGCTGAACGGACAAAAGTGTCAGCGCCCTCCTGTTCATGCTGCCAATCTCTCTCTCTCTCTCCATCCAGCAGCAGAGAGCAGGCACATCATGGTGGCGTCATGGTCTGAGCGGCTGTTCCCCTCGTATGCGTTGTTCCGAAACTCTTTTGTTTGTTTTTTGTCTTTTTCCCCATTGTTTTAATGTAGATAGTAGTTTGTGTAGAGCACCTGATATTCTTTATACATTATCACAAGACATCTGGCCATATACTGTACCTAGTATACATACAGTAGAATTTTTAAACACGCTGACATTACTAGTGTGCTTTTAACTCATAATGTGTTACTTAAAAATACATTTGACTGGTTTCCAGAGAGTTAGTTATTTTAAATGAATAGTGGCAACATCAATACATAAGCTTAGCCTCCCGCATTCTGTTTGTAAGCGAGAAAAACTGTTCATATAAAGTAGGGCTTGCAGTATGCCCTGGAATTTAATTAACTTTTGACAGTAACCATGTAGAGGAGTGAAAAAATAGTCCTTAATAGAAATTCTTTGGAGAGATTGGGGACACCTGGGCTCTATTTTAAATGAAATCTGTTTGGCTCTTGTGTTTCTGTATTTTCTCTTACAAACAGATTGTCTGATTGATGATTGTCTCGGTTTTCTGGTCTGCATTTCTTCTTTGCTGTGTACTAACGGCGTCCATTCAGCTCCTGTACCTGCTTCCCACGTTGACTTGAATGTTCTTCAGTCTTAATCTATTACAATTTTCACACAGTTTTTGGACAGTGACTCTATTGTAAGTGGATAATTTTGAAATATCAAACATGAGCAGTGGAAAAACAATGAGTGAGAGGGTCGAGTGATGTAAGCAACCTCCTTTCCCAGGTCTTAAATATTAAGGCCTCACACAGTGAACCCCCCTCCCACTTTATTCATTCAACGGTTGAGTAAAACACAGCACATGTGGTGTGGAATATTAGAAAGTGTTAATGTTCTTACCTTGGTCCAAGCTGTGGTCTCCATTCCAGCTTTCAGACATACTGTAACTACCACATACTACACACGCACACAGGAGAGCAAATAAAATAAAAAGAGAGAAACAGGGTTAAGTCTCTGGCGACTGAAGGAGATAATAAACATTAATGTTGTACAATAAACTAAGAAATGTCTGTTAAAAGGCTACAGACCCCCTCAACCTTGTGCCGTCTACACACACGCACACAACAACAACAAATAAAAGTAAGACTGGGGGGTAAAATGATTTCAAGAGTGTGGGATGGAGAAGTGGGGAGGGAGAAGAGAGATGGATGAGTGTGGAGAGGAGACAGACTGGCTAGACGAGACGAGATTTAGTGGAGAGACGCGCAACGCAGCACAGTGCCGGCGTGTCCACAAATACTGTGCATATGTAGAGCAAAATCAAAAAGGACACGGATATAAAAACTGAATATGAATGAAAAGACACACAGACAAAGGTAATAGATGGATGATGCTTACTGTGTAGACCATGTTCCCAACAAACAGGTAGTCATTTCCCTGACCGTCGCTGAAAGGGGAATCTGTGGGGAACACACACACGCACCTTAATGCCAAAGTCTAACCGGGCAGAGTTCTGAATGTTAAGTTACTCTGGCACGTCACTTACCATGCTCCAACATTTTGAGTGGAAACCAAAAGAGAATAACGGAATGAATCAGTGCATTGATACAAGTACCCCAAAACACCTGAAAAACACAGAGAGAGAGAGAAAGAGAGAACAGAGTGGAAAACGAGTCAGTGAAGGTTAATGCCAAAGCACATATATGCCCACACACACATAAAAACATACAAAAACAGAAATCCCTCACAGTAGCACACAACTTCCACTGTGTTCTTGCCATCAAAAAGTGCCCTCCTAGTGTACCCTTTAAAAATGAAAGACTTCCTTATTCTGGGCCAATGAATCTCATTAGACGTTGCCATGGAAACATACCCGGACTCCTCTGCCCCTCTTATTTACCCACTGGAGCCCAAACAAACAGGAGGCATCACTTGGCACTCCCAAAGCGAGCTGCAATGCCATGACAAGTCAGAGACAGAGCACGTGGTGTGTGTGTGTGTGTGTGTGTGTGTGTGTACCTTGGTGTTGAAGCCCTCGGCATTCTGAGTGATCCGGTAGAGCTGTGGGAAACGGAGCATATTCTGCTGGCTGCACGGCCGGTCGAATATCCCCAGAGTGAACGGGGGCAGCGCAGTAAATATCTGCATCACACACACGAGATCCAGCCATTTAATCACATAATGACAGAGCGCCGTGTATACATATAAACATACTGGGAACTCGCTGCTCTTTTCAGCGGCGGCATTTATGGAACGCCACAAGGTTTTAAAAGTGGGGTAACCTTACAGGGCATCTGCAGTTAAGACATACAGTATGTACACCCGAAGAAAAAAAGAAAAACTCCAGACGCACACAATTAAGATTGGTTAGGATAAGAGGAGAGGGACATTGACCTAATAAAAAACAGACTGAGTGAGAGAGTGGAGAAACGAAGTGGTGAGCGGTGAGACGAGGTACTCACCACGTTGTAGAGGCCGATGCACCAGCGCTCGAATAGGATCTGTCCGGAGAAGCCGTTCACGAAGGCGAACCACAGCTGGAGGCACAAAGAGACAGATGAGAGGTGTGGACAAAAAGTGGACAAAAAGTTGGACAAAAAGTTGGACAAAAAGTCCAAAGCTGCTAATAACGTGTGTGCTGTTTAAACAACGTTTTAGTGCATGTTTTAGTGCACTTTAATTACGACAGATTGATTGAGGGGAATTGTGGACATCATTTTTAGATATATAAGAACTAAAAACAATTACGGCTGAGGGAAAACCTTCTTTAACGTCTTACTATTGACCCCCCACTTCCCCCACCCGCACACACACAGAGGTGACGTAGGCTGATCTATGGTCAGATAGAGAAAATGTTTGGGGCCGGTGGTGGGAGTTGTAGCATTCCTGGAGGCGTACGATGGAGCAAACACACACACACACACACACACTTTTCCGCGTATTCTGTCTCCACTAAGTGGACAGAGACAGTCTATGACCTTTGGCCTTGAGTGCCCTGCGGGGGAGCCAATCATGTGAGATAATTATGGAAACACACCCACAGAGTGGTGGTGTGAGCGGGACAGTAGGCCCCCATGAGGACCTGCACCTGCTGGCATCCTTAATGTGAGACGGAGGGGTGGAGCACAGCTGACGAATACCCCTCATACCAAAGGCCAGGGCTGCTGTGTGCCCCTTCATCCAACAAACACACAAACACACACACACACACACACACACACACACAGACCCTTGGAGCCAAGGTCTTGCCACCGCTGATCTAAACACACGTTTTTTTTTCGTAGCATGTGTGTGTGTGAGTGTGTGTGCAAAACAGACAGAAAGCAGACACCAGAAGGGCACGTCGTCCATCACTGTCAGTCTGCGTCGATAAACAGCTGCAGAACGTCTCTGTTAATGTAACTGTGTGTGTGTGTGAGAAACAGGGAGTGTGTGGTAGTGAAGCTCTTACCTCGATAATATAGAGGACCACATTCTTGTAGAAACAGTAGAGGATGCACTTGGTGACACGGTTGTAGCTCCAAGCCCCGTGGACCAATAGCAGCTTCTCCAGGTAGGAGAACTACCAATCATGGGAAAGAAACAGAGGACACTTATTAGGACGCTTATTACGATCACAATTAGAAGAAAGAATAGAGAGTTGACAAGAATGTTTGAGATGGAGGGGGAAACGTAACTGACATTAAGGATGTGGCTGGGAAAAAGTTGAAGCAAGAGGAGTCCGGGTGGTGCAAGAATGAGATGCTAAAAGATAAACGACCCGAAATAATGAATGTGTTCATTTCACTGAGGTGTTGTTACGTGTCACACGGATAACCGGATTGCAAATAATCTTTCTTCTTCTTCTTGCTTATTTCTTTTGTCCACAAGATGTCTGGATACGTGCAACTCATGAGGAAGTCCTCAGGCGGATTGTTTTGTCTGACCAACAGCGTGACGTCCTGAGATATTTCATTCCCTAGAGAAGGTTTGACATTCTTTGTAGGACACTAATCTCCTTTCAAGCAACAAAGTCAATAATAAACCAAAGTTCTCAGTTCGAATGGGCTCTCAATTGAGAATTTTTAGAATGTCTGAGTGAAATTAATTGAACTATTACTCGTTTAAAAGAGTGAATCATGCTTAAATGTGAGCATGAACTACATTTTACTTTTTATTTTTAAATAGTTTTTACCATTTACACACTCTTTCTTTAATTCTTATCAATGTCCAGCCTTGTATTGATACTGGAGTGACCCCTGGAAGTAAACTCTTCCTCCGGCGCCCCCCCACCCGCCCCCCAACCCCTCCAGAGAGGTCAAAGGTCAGCAACAGCCGTAGCGTGAGCAGGTAAAGATTAAGTGTCCCGCCTTAAGACACTTGAGCAGGGGGACAGCCAGGCACAAATCCATTATCCACGTTCATATGAAAGGTTTGTAACATATGCGCATGAATCCCCCCGCCCCCCCCTTCCCCACCCACCTGTGCTATGGAGTAGTCGGAGGAATTGGTGGCCTGCATGCCCTCGTTGCCACTGATCCCCACTCCGACGTGAGCCGTCTGAATCATGCCCACGTCGTTGGCACCGTCGCCGATCGCCAGCGTGATCGCCTTCACGTGCTTCTTCACCATGTCCACGATCTCGGACTTCTGCAGCGGCGACACTCTGAGGGCGCAAGGAGAGAAATGGACGTGGTTGGTTGATGTTGGAAAGGGAGATGCAGCTTCACGATTAAAAAAGGAACGCTGTGAGATTCCGAGATAGAAAGCAAGATGCTAGCAATCAGGAAAGGAGAAGGAGTGTGTGTGTGTGTGTGTGTGTGTGTACATTCAGGGAGCTTCCAGTGGTACTACTGTCTCACTGATCCTTAGAAGGACCGAGGGAGGCTCCATTACAGTGGTTTTCCTCGGGGGCCACCGAGACACGACAGCCAGGTGTAATGGTGCAACTGCTGAACAGCTGTGGATATTTGTTTTTCTCATATTACCGGGTCACACACACACCGACAATTGGAAGAACGACACAAACTGATTGTGGGTCTTGCGGTCTTAGGGTTTGGGAGTTTGCTTTAGAAAGACACACAGGGAATTTGTCCTCAGCTCTGCTTCATGAACGTGCTGCGTACGAGGACGCGCTCCTGGTCTAAAAAGGTTTACATTTACTTTTGCTGGTGATCGTAATTAGCCGAGTCCCAGTGATGTATTAGTTGATAGTAATTTGACTTTCAACACGGGACAATACGTCAAATGATATATATTACAAGAAAGAGGCGGAGTCGCATATAAATTGACTACAAATACGGTGTGTGCGTGTCTCAAGTACAGCTTCACATCCCCACGTTCATTGGTGCTCACACACAAGATACACACACACACACACACACAGAATGGCTCCGAAAGACGGTTTGTCTTCTATAAATACGTAAGGATCATGTCCCGGTCAAACTGAAATCACAGAGTTGGGTGGTCTGCTAAGTGTTCATACACGGGCGTGTGCAAAAACACACAAGTTTACACACATACAAACCCCCCCGCCTCCGCACCAGGGGGGAAACCCTGAGAGTGTCTTGGCCCCCGTGGTCGACGCAGAAGGATGGGATCGACTTGTCTCTCGCCGGCTCGCTCTACCTTTGCCTTGGAACGCGGCTAACAGAGTCTGGGATTGTATAAAGTGCCATCGGGGAGATGAAAGGAACCCCGAGCGCTCTTCACGGTGGAACCGAGCAGAAAATAAGCAGCCCCCCAAGTCCTCCTATAAACAGACGCACAGTGAAGTCAGGAAGCCATGCGTACGAGTGCAGCCGAAGCACACACACACACACACACACTCTCTCTCTCAATGTGGAACATCACACACGTACTGTTGGGGAGAGACTTAAAAGTCAAGACTAGAGCTTGTTATGTACAAGCACCTTATTAAAAGTATTTTGCGACAGTCACAACTGGATCCCTACAGTACAACATGAGGGTCGGGGCGTATTGGGCCTCAAATGATCATTAAGATTAAAGGATCTGAGCACCAGAATGGTTGGGGAGCATTGATCTACAGTACAAAATACTAATATCTACTAGAGTCAATATTATATCTGGATTTCTTTTCTTCTCTCTTTCTACCTTTAAGAAATATGGTTCCAGTACAACATTTTCAATGTTAAATAGTGTAAACATAAGCAGCTGAACTTTAGAATGAAACATAATATGAGACTGGGAAAATACAAAAACACCAGAGCTCCTGAAGAAAAAGATTTGAAACATTCAGACCTTTTGGAAAAGCTCAGGAGGAGCAGAACACTCCTGATGAAGACCTGTCAACAACAAGCCGTGTCACTAATAAAAAGGCCTCTTTATCAACAGGCCGCTGCGCTCCTCTCCACTTGCAAAACGTGTGAACGTGTGATCTTTTGCATGCGTTCACAAACGACAAACACTTAGCGCTAAACAGGGTAGCGAGATGGAGAGATACGTATGGAGCGGAGGAGGGAGAGATATACATATAGAGAGAGAGGGGAGAGGTTAAGGATGGAGGAAAGGAAGCTGGAGGCTGTTTGCAGGGCCTGTGAGACCCGATTCCGGATATGGGAGTCAATTACACCCCCCCCCCCCACCCAACCCCACCCGGTTACGCACACACACATGAACGCGCACTATTAAACACACACACGCACACACACAGAGACACAGGACGAGTGGAAACTCTTTTGTTAAACATCACAGCTGGGGCTGAGGCCAACATGACCAAAAAAGGGAACATGCAGTAAACATTGTATGAACAGAGTGCACTTTGTGTGAACAGAAATGCATTTTGTTAATGTGCGTGAGTGTGTGCTGGTGCCCGCTCCTCGGGGTGCCACCAGTGAGTCATGGCTCTGACATTTCCATGCAGCCGTGCAGCGGGACCGGCTGCCATCATCCTCGCTCCTTTGCTGACTGTGAGAAACCGACAAACTTTACAACCATGTTAGAAGGTGAAAATGTGTGTGTGTGTGTGTGTGTGTGTGTGTGTGTGTGTGTGTGTGGGTGTGTGTGGAGCACCTCTGTCTTGCTTTGCACAATGATGATTACATTTTCTAGACTTCTTGCTAAATTACTTTTGGCTTTTACCACACTCCTTTTAATCACAACAAGTTGGTGAATATTTGAATGCGGTTTGCTGTGAATATAAATTATTTCATCAACAGCACCAACAACTAATTGGATTAAAACCATATTACAACCATTTTTTCAGACGATTTAAGCGCCAATAAGACAGCAAATGTGTGTGTCTGCATGTGTGTGTGTGTCTGTGTGTAATGAGCGCATCTTTCCTACCGGCAGCAGATGACAGCCTTGCAGGATAACGCCAAGTCAAGGAAGGCCTGGCGGAGCTCGAAGGAGAGCGCGTACTTCAGCGTCTGACCGTCGATGATCAGCGCCAGCTCGTTCTCCTTCCTCAGAGAGTCGCCCAGGGACGAACAGTGAGCGGTCAGAGAGGCGCGGGTAGCCTGCAAGGACACAGGGACCACGGTTTGGGGTTTACTTCCATCGTTCGAGGAGGGAGACAATCAAGATGATCTTCACCCCCCCCCCCTTCAAAAGAGACCAATTAGACACTTTCAAACATGCGTTCACTAACAAGCCCCCTAAGTGCTCATAAGGAAGTGAAACCCTGAACCTCGTCACCATTTTTTAAATTAACTCCAGAAAATGGTGACTCATCACGTTTTATGTTTTTAGGGATATAATGTGGCCTTTTAAAACGGGTGAAAAATACAAATCACACACACACACACACAAACACACACGCACACACACACACACACACAGACATACAGACATCACAACGCGCAGACCGCTTGTTGAAAGGTCAAAACCCCTGGCGGTAAATGGAAGACATGTGCTCCTGGTTTCATGCAGCTGCTTTCATCTGGGGAAAGAATTTGCTTGTGTGTAAACTAAACAATTAGGAATGCCGATACAAAGTCCACCGTTGTTCTAGACGTCATGATAGAACGCTGATGTTACAAAAGGGTCCCGGGGGGGCGAAATATATACTACACAAAAGCAGCAGCACACCACAGTGAGAAGATAAGCAATGGACAACACAAATCTAGAGGAAAAGAAGATGGCGCATTCTATCTATCAGCAAAGAGTAAGAGTGTGCGTGTGCGTGTGTGTGTGTGAATGAATGCCATTCCGCCTGCAAGGCAGTAGTTTGGGGGCAATTCTGATGGAGCTCTTGATAATAGAGGAACAAGGATTAATAGAGAAAATAAACATCCCACAGAGTAATGAATTCCATGTGGAGGAGCAGGCACGCTACAAGCTACCAGTCAGGCCCGCGCACACACACACACACACACACACACACCCACACACCTGAGTTCTAACACATCCACCGACTGAAATGATGACTTCCATGGCATCCTAATGTTACAGAGCATTCAAATGGTTCCACATGTATCATGTTTTCCTTGTGTGCTTCCTTTTCAATGAAGCATTTTTGGGGGGGTTCCATTAAAAAAAAATTGTCTCCCAAATAATCCTTTTTGAAACATTTGAAAAGAAGAAGAGAAGCTACAGGTTCCCTCAGGTTGTTGGCGGCCGCCTGACCTCAAAATCCAGTGACCCGCGGAGAGACGACCCCTCTCTCTACCGGTCAGCATGTGCAGGAGACAACAAACGCACACACGCACACACACACGCACACACACGTATGTAGCACAATTATAAGAACAATGCGCTCTCTCTTCTCCTTGCCAAATAGCTATGCACACAAGTGTCCCTCCTCTCCCCCCCCCCCCCTAAAAAAAATTCCCCGCTCTTGTTTTCTCAGCCTGAGGCCGTGTGTTTTTCTTTGTATGCCGGAATTCCTGTTTGCATTCACCTTTTTCCCCAAACAGGGGAAAGGAAAACAAAAACATAATGAAAGGATTAAATTGGATTACAGGTTGCATTTTTACTGGAGGAGTAAAACACGTGTATGCGTGTATGAGTGTTGCCTGTTAGCGCTCTAATTGCTCAGGTGGCTGTGGACGTAGACCCACTTTTCCCTGCGTGTCCTCGCCTCGTTCCAGTGGAACGCACATGAAAACCAGCTCAGCGGCAGGACACAAAGCAGATAGCGCGCATGTGAAGAGAACGATCGCATGAAAACACCCAGCACACGACAACACGGGTTTGCGACGGCGGGTGTTGGCGTCTCGCACGGGGCACTCGGTTCTGTGCAGCTCTTATTTAGGGGCAAATGACAAGTGCTAACAAGAATGATGGTTCAGTCGGTGGTTGAGCCTGAAATTGACAAGTGTATGAACCCGTTTCATTTTCATTTTCTTAAAAAAAAAAAAAGGCCCAAGAGAGTGGATCACACACGGTTTAATCCCACAAGTGAACACAAACAGTTCAGCGTCCCATCAGCTAAGCTAACCCGGAATAATAACCAGGCTGGATCTGCATGGAGCTGTAGAGGATTAGCGAGGTGACTAAAGGTACAAACCCTAGTTAGCGTTCAAAGCTAACAGGCGGGCCTTTGCTGAAGTACAGCAGGCCCAGACCCAACTGTATAATCATGAGAAGGAATGGCGCCTTAACATGAAAAGAAACGGCTGCCTCGAGGTCCACCGGGATCTTTTAACACTTTGTCGAAGAGAACAAACACTAGATCAAAGAAACATCCATTACTTTGTAACTTTCTTCATTCTCACGCTAAATTACCCGCTATTTCTGGAGACCTAAGCGGAAATTTCTTTGATTGCCCCATTTGCAATACGACAGATCTCTCTAGCAAGCGGCGTTGTGTTCCAAACTAAATGTTGATTTTTCATACGCATCTGAACAGGCCGAAAACACACGCACAAACTTTGTGAACCATGTTAACAGGTCCTTTTGCATGAAATTTTATCGGGTTTATATTTGGACCACAAAATGGGAAGGGCCCGGAGGCGGTTTGAGATATCACAGGTCACCTTCTCTCATTGCATTCTTTACCATGAAAAGCACACACACACATATACGATATAAATAAATGCACACAGTGAGCAAGGCGGAAAGCCAAATGTTGATCGGTTCCAGGCTACCGTCTCCATCAAAGAGAACTCAATCGCTGTTCTATCATGATGGAGGTATGTAGAGAGTATAACATATACAAAACAGCACTAAACAAGATAAATAGGAAAAGTTACAAAGCAAAAAGGAAGAAAGAGCAACCAAGAAGAGAGAGAGAGAGAGAGAGAGGGGGGTGTAGTAGACATGCTCATATCTGAAGTGCAGATTCTGTCACCACCGCTGAGATTAATATACCGTTTAATTATCTGACTGTGCATCTGTGCAAACACCCACATCCTCTGCTGCCTGAGCCAGAAACACACACACACACACACACACAGCTGTCCGAAAAGGAAAAAAAATTGACATATGGACCGTTAAGAGTGGGAAATATATATATATTTCAAATTGAAAAATAGAGAAGAATAGAGCATGCCAGTTGAGGCACAAAGTATGAGTGTGTGCGTAAAGATGATTAATGAGCAGAAGAGAGATGCTGTTTGTTTTAGAGTTGCACCTCAGGCAGCGTGACGCAGAGAAGGGGATGGTGGGAAAGTTGGATATACGGTATATTCAGAACTACCAGGCGGATCCGGCTGCTCATGTGCCGCTGCAGCTTGAGAAAGCTGATAGGGTGCGTGACAGATCTAGAGGGACCGACGCGAGCGGGGAAATGAGGAAGACTTTACATTCTCACGCTTGCCAAGTCCAGCAGTACTGACTAAACTGAGAGAGACAAGGCGCAGATGCGTGTCAGTCTGTGTCTGTGTGTGTGTGTGTGTGTGTGTGTGCGTGTGTGTGTGTGTGTGTGGCATGTGACGCCAAGGTGACAGATGCCGCTTGTCGCAGCTTCAGTGGTTTTTGCAGCGTTTACCCAGGAGGCATCGTTCGCTGGGTTTGTTTTGACGAGGAGCTCCACCAAAAGGAGATGGCGTTACAGCTCACTCGTCAGCCTCGCATGGCTGGTCCCCCCCTCCTCCTTTCTCTCTCCAGATTGTCCATCTCATACGTGAAGCACAATGATCGCAAGATCAACCCCACAGATGTGCCTTCACACTCCGATAAAAAAAGAAAAAAGAAAAGAAAAAGGGTGCGACAGAGAGTGAGAGTTCGGGCAGACTTCGTTCCAACGGAGTCAGGAGGTCGACCTCGAGGTGACATTTTGATAAGCAGCTTCTGTCTCCCTCAGCCTCCACACTCACATTCGGGGGGTTACCGTTTCAAAACGAGCCGACGTGAGCTATTTTAAGTGCGAGATAAGCGGTGTAGTGAAGACGGTGTTGCTTTTATCTGCAACAAACACGACCAGAGCTCCCTGAAGTGGTCCTGATTGACGGGCATCTCTGCAACTGAATATATCAACATGATGTTTTTTTTAAATGGAGAGTAGGACGCCATTAGTGTATTTTCTGTCTAAGAGGCTGCAAATGTACGTTTTCGTCACTGTCTCTTGGTTGCTGCGTTGCCTGGACTCTCTGTGCCATATAGAAATGTGTCTGCACCACGACTTGAGCGATAAGCCCGGGGTTAGAAAAACTCAAGGACATATCAGCAGTGTGTACTTTTTATATGATTCTGTCTATTTTGGCCGTCCTTTCCAGCTGAAAGATCCCGCCTCATTACTCGTCATTCAACGTTGGAAGAATTTACTTTTTTTGGCTTGAAATATTTTTCTAGCGAATGAGCCGAGGAAGCTCCCTTTTCCAACGTGTTGGTGCAAAAATGCTCCGAAGAACCTGCAATTCCTGGGAAAGAGTTTCCCAAGCAAGATAGGCATAAGATTTCTTTTGGCTGCAATTGAAGCGTATACAGATGAATTTCAAATATGTACTAGCAATAACAGCCGGGCAAGAAAATGAAAGAAAACTTGTTTACCGTGATCACCTGTTTGAACTAAATGTTTCATCCTCCGACTCAGACTACATTGACAGTGAAGCAAGGTTCCCACACATTACTTACCAGTCCATTAAAAAAAAGAAAAATACAATATTGACACCATTTCAGCGAACTAGATAAAGCAGACTAAAACGCTAAACTAATTTATTGAAAACTTGTCTCTGTATTTTATGACCCTGAGAAACTCGGGTGACCAAACACGGAGGGCCGAGCAGCAGCAAAAGCCTTCCAAACTATGTTAAGAATGATCCACTTACACTGCTAACTCCATTAGCATCCAACCTCTGGTTCTAATCGACAGGGAATTCGGAGGCAGAGTTACCTGCTTTGGCCTGACATAAAATGTTCACCCTGTCCAGCTCAGTTTACTCAGCGTCTGTGGGAACTGTGCACGCTGTCTGGCTTTTGACCAGCCGGGCACCACTGTGATGTGCGTCAAAGTAAAATCATAACCATTCCCTTTACTCCAAGTTGTGAAGGAACATTATTAGAGGTGCAAAGTTGTGCAATGAAATTTTAGATGATGACAAACATTAAAATCTTCTACACAGGATGCAACGTTAACCACGTAGACGCCTTTACTGCTGTGTTGATTATGCTATAGACTAATAAAATCCCTCTTTGGACCAACACCACACAAACACACATCTACAAATACACACAAGCACACACGCAGTTCCGACGCTTAAACTTTATGGAGGCCTAATCTGCCCCTGCCCCACATATAAACAAACTCCATAAAAGTGAACACACTGTGCGTGTTTACAAAGGTTAGAGTGTAAGCACACAAACACAAACACACACACACACACGTGAGTCAGAAAGTGTGTGAAAGAGAGAGACCGACACATGACAGTAATGAAGCCACTTAGCCAGCGAGAAATTTAATTTAAACTAAATGTAATTTAGAGCCAAAGGAACACACGTACACGTTAACAAACACTCAGTCTGAGCCCTAAAATACGTTCGATAAAAGAGACACAAACACTGTGAGAATACGGTCTGACCCTTTAAAGGTTCGGTGTATGAGAGCTGCAAAAGAGACGTATGGAGAGGGGGAATAAAGACCGAGGGGAAAGAGGTGGCCGTTCACTACGCTTCGCTTCTCATCCCTTTCTCCGAAAAAGAGACACCAGAGACTTTAATTACCTCCACCTGTGAGCACACAAAGAGCCCCACCCACCAATCTGGCTGTGGACCACACCTTAGTTCCCACAGTAACTCGCTTAAGACCCCACCACTTAACACCCCCCCCCCCCCCTCCCTCCTCACACACAGTCCCAATACTGTACAAAGACAGGAATCAACGAGGTCAGCGGGCGGAAGCAGAGGGCCTACTCACGTCCAGAGAGTCCTCGTTGACAATGATGAGGGACATGCCGTGTGTCACCAGGCGACAGGAGTAACCTGAGAAACAGAAACCGAGGGTTGTGGAGAATGTGGAGAAGGGAGGGGGAGAGATTAGGTGTACTCCAACCCAAAACTGTGGTGAAACAATTGTCTCGTTTACGGTCTCGGTTAGTGGAGAAAAAAAATGAAACAAAAAAAAACAAAAAACTGTCCCGCTCAGTTCTCTCAAAGAGCTACCCGACTCCATTCTCCTCCATCAGCCTCTGGCCATCATCACGTCTCTCATTGCAGTCGGTTATGCATCGTACAACTACGTAATGCGCCAATTAAACTAAGCCCAACCACTAACTCACTATCATTCTAAATACCAAAACAGGTACAGTACACACTACTACAGTTGTATCACATAAAAGAGAGTTAAAACTAAAAAACTATTTGCACAGCACAGAGAGTTTCAGAACTTTTAAACTAAATGTAGTGCTTATTTGTAAGTGTGTTTTTTGTGGACATCCTCCTCCAGCTTTAAGTCTCCTCTACGCTGCATACCGCTGGTGTATTTCGCCCAGAGCTTTGAGAATTGTCTGGCATTTAATGGCACACATAATGCCTCCTATTCTTCTGGGTATTATTCAATAAACACCAGCTGCAGAGACCAGGGGACTTCCCCCGCCATCACTGGCACATCTAACCCACCTATGTTGATGGCGGTCTCCTGCTTGTCTCCCGTGAGGACCCAGATCTTGATGTCGGCTTTCATCAGGGTGGCGATGGTCTCTGGCACGCCGGCCTGCAGACGGTCCTCTATGGCCGTGGCGCCCAAGAGAAGTAAGTTCTGTTGGCGGAACAGAAATCATTTAAGAAATACGATTTTGAAAAAGACAGTGACAGCAAAATATGGCGAAAGAGGGAAAGTATTTAGGGCAACATTCCCCGGCTGTATGTGAAGGCTCTTTCTCTAGAGAACACCATCCGTATCTAGTTAGAGGATGAGAACGATGCCAGCGAGTTCAGTTGGTTCGGCAGCTCATTTTAAACCTTGATACCGACTGTGTCTTCATGCCAAAAAGTCATCCACCCACCCCCCCCCTCCCTTGCTTTAATTTGTTCAGCATTTAAATGATTGTGTACCCCCATTAGACACACTCAGACGCACACACAAACACAGGTTTACACTGCTGTGTTGTTGACTCCGGTTTTATGGGGCTTTTGGCACACTGGTGAAGGTAATTACCCTCGTGGTCTCCCAGTCTGAGCTCCCCTCCTCCTGCAACTGCTTCCTCTTTACCTTCTTCCCACCTTGACCCTCAACTCCAACTCTTCGGTTTGCCCACATATTAGTTTGGCTCTTGAATATCCCCCCCCCCGCCTGAAACATCTGCATAATGTGTTTGATCGTCCTCAGTCAGTGCCATCCTTCTGACCAACACCAGATGTCCGTGAAGCCATCCCTTTAGGAAAGAGCAGTAGCATTCTGCACGTTCCGCTAAAATGGGATTCTGTCTTGATATTTACACTCATGCTGAGTAATGAAGGACGTTGGGTTTACTGCAGCGTGGAAAACAACGGGGCCACTCTGCCACCTGCTGGCAAACAGGATGTGTGTGTTCGTTTGAGCGGAAATCATGAAGAATAGACAGCTCTAGTCTTTGACTTCCAGACATCCCACACAGAGAAAGAGGTGGTGTGTTTACCTTTTCGAGTAGCTCATAACACTCCTCGAGTTTCTGAGCGCGATCTTTGAGCACCGTGCTGACACGATTGTATTCCTTCAGCCACTCCTGGTAGGCGTCTTCCTCCAGGTCCACATATGCAAAACACAGGGTCCTCAGTCCTGGACGGATGGGAAGAGGAGGAAGAGGAGGAGGAGAAAACCAATCGATGAGCGCGATCATGGAAAACAGATCAAGGAAACAGAGAAACTCAACTATGGCGTATCCTCCCTCTTACCTTCAGTAGCAAACTGTTCCAGCTGAGAAAGAGTTAATTCTTTGTACTGTGACGCCTCAGTCAGACGCTCAAAGATGACATTATCCTGCGAAACAGACAACAGATAAAACATTGATAGAAAACGACACTTGGCGAGTTGAAATACTTAATGAGATGAACATACCGCTCCTTTGCAGTACAGCCGAAGCTTTCCAATGGGGGTTCTGACCACCACAGACATGCGTTTGCGGTTACTGCAAAGAAAGCAGCGGGCTTAGTTTCAAAACGCATGCCAGTTTTATATTACACAGCCATTAATTGCCTGAGATGAACAATTATTAGGCTACCTTGAAAACTCGAGCACATTTAAGATCTCATAGATCATCTCTTTCTCTCTCTGAAAGAAAAAACAGCCCATGTCAGCTCTTTGCAATAAGCAGTAAATAATTAAAAACACACACAGATAGAAATAAATTCACACTTACAGCTTCAATGATGACTGAATGAGGGGTTCTTGCAGTGAAGACGAAACCGAGCCCTTTTGCACCTTTGACTAGTGCTCCTTCGTCCGGAGAAGAGGCCTGGTAGATGATCTGGTTGTCCTCTCGCTCCGGGACCACCGTGTGGCACACGGCCATCATCGTCAGAAACTCACAGATCTGAGGGGATGTTGGCTAAATACAAACAAACAGAGAGGACGGGAGGTTTAACAGCATCCTTTATTTGTTTTTGTAGGAGTAGGTTTGGTTCAAATACAGAAAAATGAGAAAAGCTCCAGAGGCACCCACATGGCTCTCAATGTTTAGGACGAGAGTCGGGTCGTCAAACTCTGTAGAGTTAGTGCTGCTGGCCGGCAGATTGCTGTGAGACAAGAAATACAGATGTATAGAGTTAGCAAGGAATTTAACATTGTGTCAAAAAAAGAAGAAGTGAGCAATCATTCATTTAACACAGCAAGCTAAAAAATAATTACACTTTTAGTTTTCTTATTCTGATGAAAGTATAAACATTGCACTCGTTTCTTAGAACATGCACACAGGCTGAAATGGAGAGAAGAATATCAGAAAGGGGAAGACGTTTGAGAGGATCAGAAGAGAAGGTCACCGACCTGAAGTCGTCCATTGAACGATCACAGTCAAGATCAGGAAAGTGGCTGCAGTGCAAGTTGGAAACGGATCAGTTGATGAGTTGGTTAGTTCAATTATTTGAAATAATAAGAGCAAATTATTATAAGGTTTCTGGTGTGACACATTGCTAGTTTCATTTTTAGAGTCATTTAATGGCAGTCTTAGTTCATTTTATTTTAGGCGGTGGCTCCTTTAAAAAGCAGAGCTAACAGGCAATAATTAATTTACAATAAAGAAAATGGGTATTATGACTGACCCATATGTAATTCCCGCAATAGTACACTTCTTGAAGTGCATGATGTTACAGGTCAGAGTTCCAGTCTTGTCGGAAAAGAGATACTTCACCTGGAAAATACAAAAAGGTAATGTGAGTAAACGCAGCGTGTTTACCAGATGTGTATAGATGCGTCTGTAAGGGTCACCATGGGCATTCCTAATTCCCATCCGTAAGCCACGGGTTATGAAGGGGTAGGAGGGTTGGGCGGGGACACTGACCTGGCCCAGTTCCTCATTGAGATTTGACGTTCGAGCCATGGCTGGCGTGTCTGTCTCTGCGTAGTACATCTCCATGTCCTGGTCGCAGAAAAACAACAACAACAACAACAACAAAAAACAACAACAAATTAAATGAAATCAGAAATATCTGACATATACACATACACTAAGTTGATTGAAAAAGCTGCATCACAACACACTTATGGCCCGTACCCAGTTGATGAAGAGGGCCTGTGTAAACTTGACCACTTCCAGAGTGACCAGCAGGCTGATGGGGATCAGGTTGTTGTATAGGATGATGAATGTCAGCAGGTTATATGCAAAGTTAGTGGAAATGTCACCTAGACAAAACACACAAAGTCAACTTATTCACTAGCCTGTAAAATGCGTATTTTTGCCAAACCATTACCGTTGGGAGACTTGCGCCACTGGTTGTGAAATGCAATAGGTGCGTGCGTGTGTCCTCACCAGCCCTGGACAGGTACCAGCAGGAATCTTCGGTGTGTTTGTCGTTCCAGATGGCCGCGCCCACTGAGCTGATCAGGGCCATGACGAGCAGGATGCCAAACAAAACCAGGATCTGCATGTTGGTCACCCGCTCCACATTAGAGCGCTTCAGTGGTGCTTTGGTGGAGTTCTGGTGGGTGGACAGGTGAATGAATACAACACCAAGACACTCGCATCAAGGCGATGCTGCGTGATGGCACAGTTTTGTTGAGTTGCAATACTTTCTCTGGGAAAATTATTTTGCTTCACATATTTAATTTGTATAATTGTATAATTAAATGTATAATTAAAAAACTAATTTGGCAAAACACTGTGCCATTAATCACAAGGATTGTGCTCCCAGTTATGAATACATCCCTCAAGTTAAAATCCCTAAATTATTCATTGTGTTGTATTTAGACCAGAATGCAGGTTTACCTGCATCAGTTTGGAGTCGTGGCCAGTGTAGACAACAATTCCCACAACCCACTGCGTGTTTCTGAGCTGGGCGCCGCGCAGCAACACCTGGTCTGGACCCAAAGGAGCTGGACTGAGAGGAGCAAGGGAAAAGAAAACATGATAAATTAACACAACCTGCATGTTTGTTTAATGCATACAGATGGAAGTTGCAAACTTTTGAAATTTTTAAAACCTGTGGTAACTTTTGAATGAACAAAGAATTATAAAATGGTTTTACTGTTACTTATTGTCTGCTAAATGCGATGCATTTTGTACCAGATGAAAATCTTTAAATCGATAAAACATAAAAAGAGCTGTATAGTTTTGTCTGAAAAGAGAGACGGTTGGAAAAACTAACTTACAAAAATCATGCATCACTAAACACTGACAATACACTTTTGTCAATGCATAACAGCCTACGTGTGTGTGTGTATTTCTCACTTGTGGTTCTCCAGCCGCAGTGTGCCGGTGAAGTCATACAGATGTCTATTGGGTTCTTCGCACTCCAAGCGACCAGAGAGCGCAATCAAATCCTCCAGGGTCTGAAAAGTGGCCGTGAGCGAGAGACCCTGGGGAAAATGAAATATGACTGGTCAGGACTACGTACAGTAAGTACATTACTGAAACTGTTCAAAATGAAAGAGAACAAGACATGTGATCAGGCTTTATCTGTGAGGTAAGGTCGTACCTGTCTGATCTTCAGGTTGGTTTCTCCGTCCAGGTTGGAAGTCTCAGTGTAACACATGGCCTGCGGCTCGCTGCAGAGGACAGTTGTAGCAATAAAAATTATGGATCCAATCAATGGACAAGAAACCGGTTAATGACGCTTAGAATATCAAATGAACAATTAAGCAGTGGTCTTTCTTAAAATTACCGTAATAACGTTAAACATCTGCTTCTCAAATACGTATATTCATTGCCTTTTTTAATGAATTTACAATTTTTTTTAATATGAACACTTTGGGTTTATGACAGTTAATAAAATTTCAAACAAATCCCTGAAATATCGATTTGAATTAAATCACTACCTTTTTTCATATATTGAAACAATTAATCAAAAGACTAGCAAATCGATTGATAAGGAAAGTGCATCATTAGTTGCAGCCTTAAAGTGTAGTTTAATACACAACAAACAACTACAACGGAAATGTTAACCGATAAACATATTAAAAAGCACATGTGTGCTCACACACAAACATGCACACCCATGCACACTGAGGTCTAACCTTGAGGACACAATGACCATGTCAGCTGGAAGGTGCTGGCCATTGGTCACCTTCACTATGTCTCCTACTGCCACCTTGTGGGCAGAACGCAGCAGTGCAACAGCGTGATAGAGGGAGGGAGAGGGAGGGATAAGGTCGGGACAAAGAAAAAGAGGGGTGTTAGGGCAGAGGGTGAGGGGAAGATATAAGGGAGGGAGACAAGAGGCCGGTTAATAAGAGGCCAGTTAATAAGATACCGACCGAGAGGCATCATATACAAAGAGAGAGAGACTTCAGATAAAGTGACAGTGAGCCCAGCAGTGCATAGCTTTTACTTTTTGGATCAGGCTGCAAGAATGTAGACACGGATGAGAGAAGAGAATAAAAAGCCATTCAATATCAGCCTGACAAAACTGCAGTTTTTGCAAAAAATACATTTTCAGAGTTCAGAGTTCTTCTCTGATTAAAGGGCATTCTGGGAAAGTACTTGTAACCATCTTTGTTTAATGTAAACATTATTGAAACAACGGGGAAGCTGGAACAAATTCCAGCTTCTTTGACCTTGAATAACATGAGGGCTACATTCCTTCTCTACATGACAAAACAAGAACCTAAGTTTGATTTGACCTGCTGGAGCATGGCTGTACACAGCTGGACTCAGTTAATGAGTACATCCAAGAACAAGGCCACAGTTATGCGTTGTACAAGAACATACAGTGATCGTGCAAAATACTGGGAAAAAACAGGTAGCAAATTGACTGAATGAAGCTTCATGTGAAATGAAATCAGGCAAATTAGTTCTGATGAGCTGCAGAAAGCCTGATGTTTAAACCAACAACGCATGTCTATGTGAAATATTGGAAATTGTTATCTGGCCTAATAAAAGAAATACTACTTGGAAGAGTATGTTTTTACTGTCAGGGATCCAAAGCACAGACCGATCCTCAAAAAACATACTGGGGGACTAAAGTGTAGGAACAGGGAGTGGAGCACATATAGTCCTGCATCCAAGTCATAAGAGGAGAAAATATACAGCTTGTAAAGAAATATAGCTTCTGAGGCAAATTAAACAATCCAATAATAAAACACTTTTCATGTTAATCCCTCATTTAAAGAAAAAAAACATACCAATAGTTTATTACTGTTCTGGCCTTTGCAGCATTTTATGCCTTATTTTATATCTACGTTATTGAAATGCTTTTATTGATTTAGTTGGATTTGCATTTTTTTATGCATCTCTCAAGCTGGCACATTTTCATGTTTTGCTGTTGAAGGTATGTTTAAACTGAACTGTGAAACTGACGCGGTAGAGAGATAAAAGGCAAAGCACAGGAGTGATGAGTGCGTGAGAGAGACGAAGTCCGCCATGACAGCGATACCTGTTTCCATATGATCGTCTGCCAGGCTCCGCTGCGCAGCACTGAGAGACAGGGACAACACATCCGTCAGTCAACCTATAGAGCAGCACTCGTACAGTATTCATGGGGACTAAACTTTTTGTCTGAGGGCCCGCGACACAGTGAGTGACGGACAACAGCCGCTCACCCGGCCGTGAAAGGGAAAACAAAACCCAGACAAATAGACAGGAGCGCGCTCGGGGGGGCAGTGCGCAGAACCGGTGCAGACTAACGGGCGCAGACACGCAGACGTTACCTGTCGTCTTCTTATTGTTCACGGTGTTGTCCGCTTTATGTCTTTTCTAATAAATAAAAAAAAGGATAAAGACGCGTCAGTTTACGTCAGATAAGAATGCATCAGCCCTCCTTTCCTGTCATTTGGAAAAAGGAGCAACTTCATATAGCGGGTGGCGGCGGCAGCGCTACTCACGTAGTCCTCTATGATCTCCTTGATGCCGGCCACCGTGAGGATGAAGATGAGCGGCACCAGAGTGGTGTAGCGACCGGTCGGCGACACGTCGGGGATTTGCTGGTCAGAAGGTAGAGAGGCAGCGATCAGAAATCCTGTCGAGGAGCTCAGAGCCTCCACAATGCAACACCACAATAATGGCACAAGGCGGTGGAGTAAAACGAGTGTGCTGTATCACGTCTCTTTGACGGGCCGACAGAGCCGTGATGGAAGGTGGTGCCACTATTCATGAGTAAGATAAGAAACAAGTGCCGTTCTTCTCCTCCCATCTTTGTAGAAGAATATTGTTTTCACTAATCAGGTCGAGACTAGAGTTGGATAAGAGGTTACTTTCTATGATCAAATGTATTTTTTCAGCCTAGAAACGGTCTAATAGTTGTTGTAGGACTTCACGTTGTGAGGGAAATGAGTAATAAATAAAACACGCAATCTTTAATTCATCAAATTAGTACATTTATTATATTTAATAAATACGTATTGATATATTCAGTCTGACACAAGCCTGTGATATGACGTCAGAACTTTTGCAGTCTCAAAAACAACTCTCAATAATCCATTATTACAAAATAGCTGGACAAGTGGTAAATCCTGGAATGTTACATTAAAAAACTCCTCAAGAGGATTCGGCCTCTACAGCCGAAATGCCACAGACTCACACTCAAGAGTTTACCTGCATGAGTGCGATGAAGAGGAAGAAGGCGTTGGCCGCCCGCCTGATCTGCTCGTACAAGAACCGAGGTAGGAAGGTGAGAATTCCATACTTGGTGGTACTGCAGAAGAAGACAAAAAGGAGATTAAACACATTGTTTACATTCAGACAGATGGAGGCGGAGAGACATCACTTGTGTGCCAATGATTTCTTTCACGTGACAGGGTTACACAGCGTTACATTAAAGCGTCATTCAATTTGCGTTTTAATATCGCAGCACTTGAAGATCTATTAAAAACCGTCATTTGGGCTCAGGGGGCCAAGTGGGCCATTATCGGTTGCACACAAATCACACCTATAAAACGGGCCGAGGCTTTTAATCCAGCCATCTATATAAAGACCAAGCACTCCAGAAAATAGGTGCAAGAAACCTTGGCAACCCCAACGTGTCTGTCAGTCAACTGCATTGATCGGGGAACGTTATTGATAAGCCTGGTTGTAGCCAGGAGCTTCCGTAAGAGCTTTTAGAGAAGTTAAAAATAAGAAAAAGGTTGACCTTCAAGTCGAGGCCTGTCTTGTTCTCAGTTTTGTTTTGTTTCCCTTGTGTGGCCTGAGTGCAAAGTTAGAGGCATTTGTTTAATGGATAGAATGTGTTCTGTGTGCGTGAGTGTATCAAGTTTGTGCACCTCTCCATCACAGTTCACCATCTCCTAGGAGACGAACCAGTGACCGCTTTTTCCGTCTGCCTCTTACACAGACAAAAGGATTACAAAGGGCAGGACATTACACATGAAACAGAGTGACAACAGCTGTTCGTCTGTTGTACAAACACACACACACACACACACACACCGTGTCCTGACCCTGATGTTCTGAATACTCCAGAGCTACCGATACTACACCTAAGATCCGGCAGATAAAGTTCCCTTAATTTAATCAAAGACAAGTTCAATCAGACTCCACACACACACACACACACCCTTTTTCCTAGATTCCTAGTTTTTCCCGTGGGTGGTGTTAACAGCTGCTAGCTGCAGGGGTGATGCTCTCCTGCAGCTGGGTGGCATGGCATGGTGTCAATGTTTTTTTAGTTTAAACAAAAAGATCTCTGTATATTACAGGACAACACTGGACGCTGGAGGGTAGAGAGTATTTGTAAAATAATTGTCAGTTATATTGATTTGATTTTGAAGCACCAACATGGTGGAGCTTGGGTGAATCGGTGAAACCTCAGAATTATGGAGCAGGTTACTTTACTACATTTGTGCAATGAAGAGCAGCACTAATGGTAAGTCTGTATGAACACAATTCAACTACATACACTAAAATATGGATGTGGATGGCCGACGGAACAGAGAAGAGGTGAGTTGAGTGGACAGATAGAAGCTACATGGCTTTAATCTAAGAAAAATCAATATGGGCTATTGAACCTTTCCAACATAAACACAAGAGTTACAGGAATACAGAGACATCGGAGGGCAGCCACATAGAGCCAGAGTGCACTCTTTTCTCCAATCAGCATGCACCAATCGGTGGAAGGACACATGTGATCCAATCAGCTGAGACAGGGAGCACTCTGTTAATCTAATTTGTAGAGCTAAAAAAACGCCTCTTTTAAAAGTGAAATGAAATCTCCCAACAAAAATGGCAGACCGGTGAATGTCAGCAGACTAACGACAAGCCCTCAACTCACTGAACCTGAGCGTACCGCTAGGCACAGTATAAATGGGATTAATAAAAAGGAAATGACAAGGAACAAATTACATTGTGGTCCGTGTAATTCAAACTCTAATACAGTCTAACTGCAAATTTGTATTTACGACAAAAGTTACACCCAAAACAATACACAGATGACAGATGGGATGATGCTTACAGAAGAGACATCTGGACCTCATTACATGACGTGCAGCCCATAACCCCATCTTCGACCTAAACTACATACGGGCAGGTAATTCAAGTTCACACCATGTGAAATAATCACACTCTAGCCCTTGATTTATGGTCTACTTTGAAGTACAGAAAGACTACTAAAATTGCCCCTTCAGTGTCTGAGGAAACAGAGAAAGCCCTTACTGAAATGTATGTAACACAGCTAAGTGCAGTGACCTTACTTTCATTGGCGTCCTTAAACATGCATTACTGCTTAGGAGGTATCGATTCAGTACATTAATGGTAATGTAAAGTTGTTAAGCCAAGCACTTTCAGATTCAGGTTAGCCTCACCCAGTTGGTAACTCACCTAATGGGTGAGTTATTAAGAGAATCATAGGATTTATATCACTGTGGTAAAACGAAACGTTTTGGTTTATGTGATTTTAGGCCAAACTGAAAAAAAGCTAATAGTTAAAGCAGGAGATAAGGAAACAAATTCAACCCTGTCCAAAGTCTACTCGTATCACAAAACACACAGGCTAGGGTGTCCTTCAACCTGACTAAAGGGGTGTAAGCCCCAAAGTAAATATCTACAATGAGCACAGAATCCCACAAGCCGGCCGTGCCCTCTGATCCCAGTCAGGCAAACAACTTGTAATAAAGTAAATATAATCAAGATGAGCTTATCACTCACTCAACAAACGCAAAGTATCAGATGAGTAACCACAGGTTTCATTAGTCTGCCCACATCTTTACTTTGCAGTTTATTAAAGCATTGATTTAAACTTTTGGGGGAAAACAAAACATTAAAATCAGTTCAATTACAGCCCACTTTCAATTGCCTGTCGGCTTTTCACCAGGTGAGCCACGACTTGTCCGGGTGCACTGCAGAGATCCGTGCAGTCGGTCAGTTGGGTCGGTGAAAGCTCGGTGGCACCTACCTGACGTGGTTGTCGCAGAACTTGGTGTTCTGTGGCGAGTTGAGCAGCACCGTCCGCGCGGTGGCGTCTACGGGGTCCGCCTGGGAGGTGGTGCCGGACATCTCATCATCTGCCTTCCGGTAACCGCCGGACGAGCAAGCAGGTCCTGCACCGTTGGATTGATGAGAGAGAGGCGAGGTTGAGTGAGTGAGTAAGTGGGAGGCTGTGAGACAGAGACATTGAGTGAGAGGGAGAGGGAGAAAGAGATAGAGAGATATAGAGAGAGAGAGAGAGAGAGATAGAAACACCATGCCGGAGCACGTGGTTTACCGGTCCAAAAACGAAGCGACAATTCAGTACCAGAGCTTACGGTCTGCTGATGTGCGCTGAGGCCGCCGTGCTGACTCCAATGACGCGTCCCGTGTTCTTTCACTGTTATATGCCAGGTTCCGTCAATGCGCGCACACACACACACACACACACGCTCGTTTCGCAACGCCCACGGGGACCCCCCTTCCCTCCTTCATCCGCGTATAAGGGATGTGCTGAGTGATGCACAATGGGAAACAAAACACACACGGTGTGTCAGTTTTATCTGCACAACCAACGCACGCATCGCGGCGGGCGTTTAGCAAACAAGGTTAATATGTTAGTGACATAAGGGGATGCAAGGCGCTGATTCTGCCGCCCCTTATTCCCCCCCACACCTCCTTCTTCGCCCGCCGGGTTTTGTCGTCTCCACCCATCCCTTTATTGAGCGCGTGGTGATCGCCTCCCATGCGCCCCACGCGTGGAGCGGCCGGTTTATAATGACGGGATGATACGTAGCCTGTAGCTTTGTTTCGTGGGGATGAAAGGGGGGGGGGGGGCGGGGAATACGAGAGCATCGCAGACAGTTTAGCGGGACGCACAGTTTACCCAGCAGGCGCAACACAGCGGCGAACCTCTCTCCGCGTGCGGCGGCCGAAAGGAAGAGGCGGCTCCAGAGGGAACTTCTTCCCGGACAGTTCTTTCGGCACCACCCCCCCAAGAGGTATCTCCATTCTGGTCGCGTTTAACAGAATTTCCCGCCGGCTGCCCCCCGGGATTTGTGCCGCCGCGCGCTCTCAAGCTGTCATGGCGGGCCGACAAGAAGAGCCTATTTGCGCCTCCCCCTTTTCGGGGGGGGGGGGGGGGGGGCAGGGGGCCGCGAGAGCCGGCCGCTCCGCTTTTAAAGGGCCAGACGCCGGATATCGCCTCGAAGTAGTGGTCGGCCCAGATGGATCGGATGACACGCGAGGCACCAACCATCCATCAAGGGGTCAGCTCGCTCCCCCCCCCCCCCTTTTTCCGCTGTTCTGCACCCGCCACAGGTCTCGGCCCTTCATATCTTTCTCCTTAGTTTGCATTGACAGTTTATGTTTGAATTACTGCAGTTACAGTAGCAACATGTGCAGCCAGGTAAGAGGTTCACCTAATGACACAAATCCTCTCATTATTCTGATATCTACACAAGTGTGCCTGCACTGCTGCCATTGTGAGTATACAATGAGTTGTTGTATTATTGTTATACCAATTCTTATTTGTGCGTTGTCATTGTGTGTGTGTGTGTTTGTCTGTCTGTGTGAACAAGGCTGCAAGTTAAATCAACAACAGGCTAGTTGCATAAATAAATTAGAAACGAATAAACACCGTCAGGGTTTGGCGGATTGGATTTCCACAGTCCTGAAACTCTATTTCTGCAGCACTCTACGGTCGGCCTCTTCACTCATCAATAACCAAAATATCATTATATTGCACTCAAGCTTTTGTTCCGAAGGAAGAGAAGAATTGTAAAGTGACCAAGACAAAAGACGGTCGAGATGCGCTATTATCACTGCTGACACGTCAGGCCTCCATTTTTCCACTAAAAGACCCAAACACTTGTGTGTGTCTATGGGAAACGGCTACAATAATCACATCATTTGTTTGAGTGCGACTTGTCGGATGTTTTTTTGTGTTACTTTTTATTTATTAGAGGGTAAACTTCATGGTATTAAATGTAGTTGACATTCTACCATTGTAAAAGAAACCCATTTTGACGTTTGACAAGCTTAAACCCTGTCAAGAACTCCAATTTCGTATAGTAACAAACCAGACCAGGCCTCAAAGCGTCTGAACGAAGCCGAGAGAGTCAAAGTCCATGCAAAAGGATTATAAAACGCATAACCCTCATCCATACATCTATGACTAGGCTATTACCTCTGGACCTAACACAGCCATAAATCACAATCACAGAACTCCACACTGCAAAGGGCACTAGGGTCAGTCAAGATAGCGAGTGATTATGAGGAAAGGGTTAAGGATGATACATATGTCAAATTTTCAATTCTCCGTCACAGAGCATTTCTTTACCTTCCTGGAGAATAGTCTACTTTTCCTACCCTTTCATTTCGGATCTTTCCACGCTTTACTTGCTGTACTCCTTAACACGGCCGCCTGTCTTTACTGCAGCCCTCCCCACCTTCACCTTTTTTGACGAGATCAATGTGTTGGTTACTCATCTCTGATGGGGGGGCGGGGGGGGTCATGGCGCAGTCAGCGCCATAACTCAGTACTGATGAGCCACTGATGAGTCAGCAGTGACGCCCAGCAGAGCATAACCAAATAAATTTCACACAAAGCACCACGGCTAGCCGGACGGGTGCTACAGGTCTGGCAACCTGCAGCCAAAGCAGGTAAGACTGGACCGTTCCAGAAAGCCGAACATGAGCAATCCAGCCTGGGGAAGGCAGACATTTGAATCCATTACGCATGGCATGTGAAGACAGCGTCACTAATCAAAGCTTCATGAATCTTAATATACAGTAATAACTTACGGTCTCGAGCTTTAGTCGAAGCTGCCGAGGCCTGAGGCCAAAGTTTCACCGTTAAAAAGCAGGCATGGATTCTTAATTATAGATGGAGGCCGCTGCATAATTCATCTCCATTTCCCGGTATGGCAGGGCGTATTTCACCCGGTCCCGTCCCCAGTGGCACATGGAGTAGAGTGGGTGTGCATAACCCTAACACCCCTAACCGCAGGGTTGGCAGTTTGATCCCCGGCTTCTCCATGTCCCATGTCGAAGTGTCCCTGAGCAAGACACCTAACCCCCAATGCAATGTAAGTCGCTTTGGATAAAAGCGTCAGCTAAATGACTTGTAATGTAATTGTGTTTTAAATGGCCCAAATAAAACTTTAATAGATGTGTCCATGTTTATTTTAATAACGTCTGTTATTTCTGTACTTAACAACCCAGAGGTGAAATGAGCCAGAGGGATAATAGTTACTAATCATAACAACAGTTATGTTAAAATAACTTAAATTATCCCCAGCTGTCAAAGCACCAACCCCACAACATTACATTTACATTACATTACAGGTCATTTAGCAGACGCTTTTATCCAAAGCGACTTACATTACATTACCCATGGCTTTTTCACATTTTTGCCCGGGGAGCAATTAGGGGTTAGGTGTCTTGCTCAGGGACACTTCGACATGGAACATGGGGCAGCCTGGAATCGAACCACCAACCTTGTGCTTCCCAGCACACCTTCTCTAACCCCTGTGCCACGACGACCCCAAGCAGCACAACACACACTAAGGAAAATAACTTTGGCTGCAACTGTTAAAACATTTAAAATACAATTGCACTTGTGCAGCTGCATGCGTGCATTAAATCAGAGTAGCATATAATGTGCATATTTGATCAAAGCACTTTTTCTTTTCCTCACCTTGCAACAAGCCTGTTTTTGAGCTGAACAGATATTCGCATATGAATGAAGAACAGGTCAGCAACGCCACAAGGTATCGGCCCCTGAGTATGTAGTCTGAGCAGTACTGACCAATCACGTGTGTGTAGGCCTTTGTTGCACATTGTCCCCGCGGTGGAGCAAAAGGAGAGCTGGAATGCCTCGGCCAAAATCATAGAGGAAAATAAACTGAGGGTCAAACAGCTACTTGCATAGCTACCACGACTCCAACGCTATTCGCTTGACTAAAGTTACTAATTGCACTGTAAACAATGCTGTCTCGGCGCGCATGTCGTCGGTGCACTGCTTACACGAGAGCCCCAGAAGTATTGAAAGGAAGGGGCGGGGGGGGGGGATCTTTAATTGCCCCACACTGCTCGAAATTTCAATAACTAAATAAAAGATCTCCCCCCACATCCTTCTGTTCAGCCCACAATCCCTGCTGTTTGGTCAGAAAAGCATTACCAACAGAGCGTCGTCCGCCTTGAGTGAACCCTTACGTCCCATAGCTGCGTTGGTCACCGAGGCGACAGACCGAGCCTATTCGCAGGTCCCGAGTGGACCGAGCCCCGAGCATTCCCACTGGGTCCATTTGCCTCACTAACAAGAAGGTAAGGCGAGAAAGCCTCTTACGATCAGAGTATGATAATCCCCTCTGTGACTGCTCTGCAACTTCACCTGCTGCTAATCCATAACCTGCTAAGCCTACAGGTGAGACTGCAGCGCACACACACGCACATAGATGAACATACATACATACATACATACATCTCAAACGCCAGAAATCATGCAAGGCCCAAACATGCAGCTACTCCCGTTCCCCCTGTCTAAATCCATCTCAGTCACTTACGTGTCATACATGCAGCGGTGTTCATGGACATGCTTTATTCAACCATTGCCCCGCATGCTTGTTCTGTGTTCTACGGTGTGGTTATATCAAACGCTTTCCCGAAGGATCCCATTGATTTGTCTTTATCGTTATGGTGCGACGTGAGTGGTGGTCACCCTACTACAAGCACATGCAGTGGAAGGGTTCATTCCTGCCCAGCATTAATCACTCCAGGCCCAGAGGAGCTACAGATTATTCAGAATCCACAGCAGCAATATCATGTCTAAACCTTTTCAAACAAGAACCAAAGAGTAGGGAACCAGACATTGTAGCTCTTGAGGGCCGGAGGTTCGGCTTTCAGCGCATCGGCCACATGCACTTTGGGGACTCCGGACACGAAAGGGGCGTCGGTCCAGTCCGGTTCGAGCAAACTCACTTTTGTCAAACCTGTGTGTGAGGCCCGAAGGCATCGCAGCGCCAGCGACCTCGCCCGGGTCCTGCAGCTTAGAAGCCTTCTGCCTAATGGCGGTCAACACTAACTGCTCTGTGGGCACCAGACAGGCCGCGGCAGGAGAAAACAACAACACAGAAGACAATTAAGTCAATACACGTATACCGCACACAAACACACCCATGTGTCAGGAGCTGAGCTGTTAATGTGTTTGTAGGTGCCCACTGCTTGAAGCATCAATAGTGCGATTGGAGTCCGGCCTGCTTGTACGACAGATGAACACAGGAATAGTCCAAGCTTTGTAGCTTGTGCAGGAGAGCCCCCTTGTGTCCAACTAATAAAAGTACATCATTGCTGCAATTTATTAGGCCCCGCTATCTCCCAAATGGCATCGTCCCTAGCTTGGCAGCCACAGCAACCGTTCATTATCTTTCCAAAACAGAAGTATTGTTGACAGTTGGATGAGCTGAATGACTCACATAAACTAGACACATCAACACAGGGACAAGCTGTTCCCTTTACATTCAAACACAAATGAAGTGGGCTTTCAAAGACGATCTGCAAAAAAACGGGAAGGCATCTTCACTACAAATGGTTTGACCTCCTAGATGTGCTTTTTTAACCAATGTGCTTGTGAGTGCTTGTAATTAAAAAGTACTCGTTGGAACTCAGTCATCACCAGGGTTATGGCTGCGCGCTATTCGGAGCAAAGAATCAAGGAGGTCAGGCTCCAAGAGATTACAGCACAGACAGCAACATGAATCCAGGAGGAGCCGCATTTATCAACCGGCTGCCACTCCGACTGGGGTACTGCTCCCTCGGCTTAACATATGGCAGATAGTGTGAGAATGTCAGAATGCTCTTACACTACTGGTTCAAAAGAGCATAAAAGACATGCTTATATCCTTAACCCCGTCTGGTGCCCACTCAGTGTCCAAAAATCAAGTGGTGGTGGTGTTCTTTTAATAACTGATAAATATCTGGAAAACTGAAAATGGTGTGGCCGAGTTGGCGCTTTAATTATCCTCACAATTTGCCCTGCTTTCTATTTCTGGAAGCTGCGCGAGCCACACACGGACCACGCACACACACAAAACACAACAGCAGTTGGGCCCCACAAAACGACAGTCACCATTAAAAGCCCCAGGATGAGCCAAACACATACTCTGTTAGGGTCCCTATCTGCTTATCAGTCCCCCCCCCCCCCCTCCCCCCTCTGTCTATGCTTTTGTGGTCCCGCCCCTCTCTCAATAGCTCAGCTGTGGCTCATTCCGGGGATGAACGCATAAAGGCTCCTGAGTTCCAAGGCTCGTCGTCAGTCCGTCCCAGTACCCAGGCTGGTCTCAGCTGCCGTTGAATGTCGCTATCAGAAGTAGCTAACCAGTTTGCATGTTTTCGTTTTTTGTCCTGCAGTATCAGACCCACAGAGTACACGTGACTCGTTTTAATCGGACTCTGGTTATGGTGTCGGGCCTCGGGTTTCCACACCAGACCCTGCTTGATCCGCCCCAGGCCGCAAGACGTCGATGGAGTTTTCCTCCTGACTCCAGTTGAGCCCAAGCTTTCTGTTCCCCTTTTGACTATTCGCCTCGTTTGTTTCTTTTTGTTTGTTCACTTCCCAGGTTGTATGGGAAATAAAATAATTTGGCTACAAACCAAACTGCTGTGTGTGTGCATTTGGGTCCACCAACTACACCCCCCAACATACTCATTTCTCCCAGGACGATCCGATCTAATGTCTGTTTGCCATGTGTGAAATGATTTGATCATTTTTGTCGAATTATTCTCACTCTCTCTCCAACTTTTTCATTTTAGGCGATTATGAGGCACTTTTCTTACAAGTGAGATCAGTATAGCTTTATATATACCGTTTGTGTCACAATGGATTCATTAACAGCTCGGTTTACAGCATTTAGCAGATACACACACATCATCTTCCCAAAACACGAGGGAGTAAAATAATGACTTGTAAATACAGACTTTGCAAGTGCGTCCAGAATCAGATCAGGTGAGATTCATTTCCCGACGGACCGCTTAGGTCACGTGGATCTTAAGTCGACAAGGTAATAGGCTGTTCTTCGACTGATCTATATGAACATTCATTCATTCTATATATGGAAAGATTACGGAAAGCCAATACATACAAGAATAGCCCGTATGAAGCAATGCATGATGTCTAGACAAAATTATATAATACAGTAATAATGCCATGAGAAATGCAGTACATGTATGAGTACTAAGGTCACACTCAAATTCATCATTCAAAATACATACGTTATGTTTTCGTGGTGGTAAGGAACAGAGACGCCGATAATAACATACTTAGGCCAGTCAGTGATGACATATGCAGGCACCTGCAGTCAGTTTGCCCTTGCATCCCCCAAGCGGTGTCAACAGAAAAAGGAATGAGCGAGACTAAACAGGTAAACATCGATAGGCTTACGGCAGGTCACCCCACATGCGTGCCGCAGTCCAGGACGAGCCGATTTAACGCCAAGCACCGAGCAGATACGCACGAGTATATAACAGGCCGCAACATCCCATACGATAACATCAACACATATCAACACCTCCATAACGGGGACCTCGATCGAGCAAAGATTAAAACAATGTGTTTCGTTTCGCAGCTCACCTCCCTCGCTGTGTATTTTCTTGGGTCTCCGGTTGAAATACATCTTGCTGGGGGCGAACGGGTGTCGGTGAGGCTGAGAAGAGGAGGCCGGAGCGGTGGCATGCTCACGGCTCAGCGACGCAGCGGGAAAACGCTTCTCCGGACCCGGCCTGCGGTCGCTGCTTCTGTCGCTGCTGCTTCTGCTGCTGGAAGATCATTATTTTTTATCAGCTGTTCCGCTGAGGTGATGTTATGGAGACCACGGCTTCGGCCGGTTTCCAGTCAGACGCACTGGTAAACGCGCTGCTTCCGGTTACTGCTTTCAAAATAAAGTACAGTAGACTGACAATGCTAGCTAAATATTTTGATAATTCTTTTAACATGTTTTATTTTAATAAATAACATCCACTAAGGGAAGAGCAAACTGGCGGTTCGTGTTAAGGGTGACACCTTTTTACTAAAGCGAGAGATCGGAATGCATCTACAGCACAGGCAGCCTTTGTGTCACTATGTTGGAGATTGCTGTTATTAAGACTAAAATAAACAATACTGCTATTTCCTTCCTATTGATGAGTTGGAGATATCGCTCGTTTTAACCCTGTTTTGAACAAGTAAAATCAACAGTATAGTTCAAGTAATGCTTTATTTTGGAGGACAACTGTCAAACTTCCGCTCCTTCCCTGTAGGCAAAGCTTTATAACAGCTGACCGAGCGATCGTGCATCGTATGATGAGACGAAACCGCGCACCGGCCTCCGGGCTCAAAGTAACCTAAAACTGATGTAACTTAGCTTGTATAACGTTAAATATACATGTAGCTACGGTTGTATTTATTTAATGTTATTTCATCAATTTATTCAAAACGAATAACGTGACATGTTTTCGTATTGTAGTTTATGTTTCAATGAAATAGTTTACTTTGGGGAAAAACTGATATAACATTAAAACTCATCGTTACTCGTTAAATTGACTCAACTCGTAAAACGTGACATAGAAACACGGCAAAATAGTTAGCGGAAAGGGTCTAGATAGCCTCCACTCTTTAGGGTGCGCTTTATTTAACGTTAGATATTTAACTAGTTATTTGTTTGGGAAGAATAATGGGTCATTTAACGTTAAGCTAACTGGTAAAAATGAACGGACGTCAAATGAATTATCAGCTAGCGTATTTAGCTAACACTCACCCAACGGGGAAGCTTTTACGGCGACATAAATCCACCTGTCGTAACGAACGCAGGGGCCCTGTTTTGTCCCAACATGGCGGCGCTAACGGTCAAAACAATCAGCCGTTGGCCGGTCAGCGCGCGCACACACATGAACCCTGCATTCCGCATTTCCAGGCATAGCAAAGCTGTATTTTATTCCATTGTTAAGGAGCAGAGAAGAAAACCCATGTCTTCAATTTATTACATAGTAACATATTTATCTTAATTGTTAACTCTCATCACATTGTAACATAATACATATTTCCAAAAATTGATGTTTCCATATTATTAAATAGGAACAGAATAAATATTCACTTCTGAGCTCGACCCTCTCAAAGTCTCCAAGCTGGACATACATTGAACAAAAGCCTTCTGAGAACCAGGTTCACTGAAACACTGGACCGTTACTTCAGCGCGCGCACACACACAAACTTACATGCACACAAACGCACACACAGTTAAACCATACAAACGCTCTCCACTCTCACTATGTCATTCCTGCAGTTTTATTAGTGACACGTTATCTGCAGAGGTGTAGCAGCTGCTATGGACTGTTGATGGCGTTTAAAGCGACCCTAGGGACAACACACTGACTGGGTGCTAAAGTCACCTGTGCTACAATGGAAATGTCCACATCTGCACATGTAACTTGAAGAAAAACAATAATTCAATTAAGATGTGTTAACAGAATCTTAAAATTGTAGTTTTTGAGTCACCGTTGCGTTAATTGTCTCGTGAAGATGACTTTGGCGATGCGTTTGTAAAATTGTTTAAAAAAAAGAATAAAAAAAAAAAAAAAAAGAGTCCAGACTCCAGGTTCTGGTCTGCAGATGTATCTGGCTCAGTACTCAATGAGACCTTTGTGACCCAAGTCCCTCGTCGTCGCTCACGTGTGGATCCGCAATAGCAACAGGAACCGAGGGGGGACTTTGATTTCAGGGTAAACAAGACTGTTTTAAGTGGAGATGATAATCAGGCATTACAATGTAAACAACAATAAACAGCAAAACCAATACTGTTATTTCTCTCCGTATTGCACAACTCATACTAAATGACATCACTGAATTCCTGATTATCACATTCCTCCTACGTTTAACTAGAAGTGTGCTGCTGATATGGTTGATGTTTATGGTTTGAAAGTGGCTGATTTTAGTGGGTGACTTATAAAGATTAATCCTGCATTGCAATTATACAGAAATGTATGTATGGAGCTTAAACAAATACTACCGGGCACACAGAATAAAACTTATTTCAAAATTAAATACATACATCATACACACATCCCGTTAAATCATACATTTTATAACAAACTGTCGATGGACACTTTAAAATGGATGTCAAAGCTTTAAAATGGTGAATGTGAAAAATTATGTTTCCTGCTTCTTTCTAAACACATTCCATGTGAGGAGCTGCTTGGATCAAAACCATAAAAACACAAGCAGTTGTGAGTTATTTACAGCTTATACTGAATGAAGCAAGTCTAGAAGTGATTTGTGTGGACCGGTTGTGACAAGGAGACGTCACATGTGTCAGACATTAAAGAGTTAAAGTGAGACCAGTCAGCAGCGACTCCCTAAGCATTAATATCATCCATTGACATGGGCCTCTTAAGCTTTGTGATGGAGACCAGTGAAACGGGAGATGGCAAAAACAATAAAACGTATAGGAAGCTGAAAAGAGTCTAAAAAAATAAAGTTTTGTAAATTCTCTGCATTTATAGTTTCTTTTTTTCTGCACTTTTGGTTCAACCTTCTTCAACTTTGTCACTATGGATATTTAAAAAAAAAAATCAAACCATGAAAGCGCTATGTACATGCAAAGCCCACTTGGGTCTGCTCAGTTCAGCCAGCCAGGAACTTAATAGTTGCGTTTGAGAGCAAATCAGTCATGATGCACTGCAAGTATGGGCTGCCTGCAGATGGGACAGGTGTTGTTTTCAGAGAGCCAGCGGTCAATGCAGTGAATGTGGAATTCATGGGAGCAGGGCAGCCGGCGCAGCTTGTTGCCCTGGGCATACTCATTGATGCAAACACTGCATGCGCGGCCTATCTCTCCCTCCAGACTGGCTTGGCCGTAGGTACGTGTGGATAGATTGTCAATCTGCTCTTTGGTGAGCCCCCTCGGGTGTTCGTCATCCTCCTCGTCATTGAGCAAGAAGAAGTGGGCCAGTCGGAGGATGGGTAGAGTGCCGTTCTCTACCAGGTTGTTGGTGTCTCTGCTGGTGGCCCGTGCCTCCGTGCTGCTCACCACCGCTCCTCCGACCCTGGCCTGCCCTACCTGGTCCTCCTCAGCGCTCACCAGCCCTGCCCTCTCCTGATCTACCCGGCTGGCGCCTACATGGCCAGCTTCGGTCTCGCTTGTATGTAGACGACTGGCCGGGCTGGTGCTACTATTTGTAACGCTAGCATCCGTGTGGCTAGGCGCAACAGTCTCTGAATCAGCCTCGGTCTCCATCAGGGAGCTTAGCTCCCCGAATCCAGTCATGATCTGGCGCAGAATGGAACGCAGGGCGGTGGAGTTGGGTTCGCCCAGGCCCGTCTCACTGATACGTCGCAGCGGGATCCGGATAGTGCTCACGTAGGTGCGGATCCCAGCTCGCTCAGAGCGGGAGATGGTGCGTCTAAATCCACCACTGTCACTTTCAAAGGTGACCGTATTCTCGGCTACCCGGGCGCGAGAACGCGTTCGGCTGGCGATGCTGTCCCGATCGCGGTTTTCGCCAGGTCGGATCCTTCTCACCTGCAGGTCCAACATGATAGTCGGGTGCCGTCGCACCGCCGAACCTCCTGCTCCCACTGCATGTGATTCACTATCGCGCTCTCCTGACTCTACAGCGGGCTCAGTTAGAGCTGCAGGTTCTGCCACAGCCTCCACCGTCTCCACGGAAACAGAGCTTGTGGCACTGCCTGGCTCAACAGTGGGGATGGCGGAGCCACTGACGCCACTACTTGACGGTGGAGTGGTACTGGCCACAGGTATTCTGTGCAAGGGGGAGCGACTGCGCCTTGACAAGCGGGATGAAACCCCGCCGCCCGCGGCAGCCCTGCGTGCACGACCACGTGATCGAGTCCTCCTGCCACGCAATTCGTGTTCCGCCGCAGGGGCCTGGGACGCAGACTGCAGGGACACACGGGGGCAGTCTAAAGAAGCGGACATATCATCACTGCCCTGCACTACTTCTGCATTCAGGGCCTGTGGTTGCACCGGCGTCGTTTGATCAAGAGGCGGGTTGGAAACAGTAGGAGCTGAGGCTGAAGAGTGCAATGTGGCACTTCTCTCAGCAGCGGGTGGGGAGGCCACGGGTGCAGGGAGTGCAGGGGGGCTCATAAAAAGACTGGTAGTGCTGCTGCGCGTACGGCGTGTCTGCATCCTCCTACTGAGGGCGGGGCGAGGGGTAGGGTACGGGACTGGCCGTGGCGTGGTTGAGGGGCGGGGGTTGGAGAATGAGGAAGCAGTGCGTATGGAAGGTGAGGTTATGCTCTGGGCAGCCACGGGCAGCTCTGCGGTGTCCACGGTGTCATTATGTTCCCCCGGCTCTGGCTGATCATGGTTAATGTTGATCTCCAGGCTAAAGCGAAACTCTCCACTGTTGGGGTTGGTCCGGCTGACAGCACGCCATGTCTGGTTGCCACTTTGCCCACTGCGAGTAGCATTACCAGTGCGTCTAAAAGTGTTCAGCCACTCCAATAATGAGTCACCATTAGATGGTTCGGCTCCAGGCTCTGCGGCCCCTGTGAAAAACAAAAAAGGTTTTACTCCCAAAAACCAATGTATTACTCCCAATAAAAACGTATGGTGCAAGGAAACCCACAAAATGATTGCAATTTCCTTGTGTCCATTTAAAACACTAACAGCGTTAGACGACCATTCCAATTTATTAATTACGAGGCTAAACCAAACTCACTATTTTCAAATTGCCAAAGATTACGTCGAGCAAACAAATTAGTCATATTTGTCCCATAAAATGTGTGACGAATGTTTCAAGAGGACCGAACTTCATCAGTAGGGGCATTGTAATAATCCAATGATCCTCTTATACAGGTATTCTTACATTTTACAAGTAATCAATAGTAACGTAGACCCAATCCATATTGCGTCATGGCTAGTGAAAGCAACATTTGGAAAGATCAGAAAAAGACCAGTTGCTCTTCCTACCTGCTGCTCGTCTCCCTCCGGCGCCTCTCTCCTCGGCCTCACCGCTGCCGCCCTGCTGCTCTCCAGAATCGGCCGTTTGCGCACGCTGCTCGGTCCGAGGCTGAGAAGACATTCGCTCTTTTGCTCCGTCAAGGCGTTGCCGAAGCTCCTCGGCAGTCACCTCCCCTGGGAAACACGCAAACACGCGGGCCGTTACGTGGCGTCAGTGGGAGCGGGTCAAGCACTATTGCCGCTCCTCTTGTGAGAGGGGATGATTGGCACTCATGCAGTGTGACACCAGGTACCGTATTAACTTAAAACGTTTGGAATGCATGTTGACGCAAAGCCACAGCGACAATCACATATCAGTACGTCAAGACAGGACGTGTCCTTCCTCACCAGGGGTGCCGAGCAGATTGCTGTCCCTCATCAGGCGGTACTCCTCTTCACTCAGTTCATTAATGAAGTGATAGTAAGCCTCCTCCCGACGAAGACGCTCTGCCTGCCTCCGGCGTTCGTCTCCCCCACCAGGAGGGTCCATCCCCTTGAAAAGTGCTGGACCACAGATGAGTGACGATGTCAGTCAGGGGTTGGGGGTGTCATGTGAGGCTACTCGCGGTAGCTTCACATTTAGCCATCATTAAAAAAAAAGGTTCAAGTAACACGCTGCCTGCTAATTATGTGATTACATTATGTTGCTCAATCTATATTGGCTGATCGATTATATTTTGGAAAGAAAAAGAACGAGCGATTTTCTTGGCTCTATATCTCTTACCTGGTTGTATAATAAACCAGCGGGAAAAAATAATTGTTCCAGTATCTTAGTCTTAAAATGACCAATCTCTAGTCAAGGACGACACTTAAGACAACGCCATCCATTTTCTACCAAAAGACTCCACCAGCAAGAGGCAGCTACAGTAATCTTGCTAACGTTTAACCCGAGGACAAGCGCCGTAGATTTATCTAATGTAGCTTGTGGGTTAATGCTCAATTTAGTCACTGTAAGGCACCGCCATTTATAGATCCCAATAACAACGTTGTCTTAATGTAAGCTAATGTTAGCTAAGTTATATCAGTAGCAACGGAAGGCCATGTTGAAGGCAGGCAATAAAGCAGCCAAACTGGCGTTGTCATCCTGGTTAGCCACCAATGACCGGCCTAGCGCTCTTGACGGACAAGCCAGGCGTCCAATCGTTGCTCTGCAGAGGCGGGCCGCGACAAACTAAACGGAGGTCTCCTCCATGTAAACGCAGGCAAAGAAGGAAAGACAAAGAATCCTGTCAGCTTTATCACAGAACTAAACATTAAAGATATTAATGCCTGGCGATGATTACAGGCGTTTCCACGCAAACACAATAGTCGGTTTTGAGGAGCTTTCAAATATGCGAAGTGTCATTCCGAATGCGCAATTCCATAGTTGCTAACCAAGCACTAGCAAATTAGCACATCTAACGAAAGCGAATAGCAGTCCGTCGACACTAGTGTTAGCCGACTCGCCAGCGAGCTGTGAGGCTGTAAAACTCCTCGGATATAAATGTGATGAAATGTTTTACCGAGTAGCTAATGTAAACACAGCGTCTACGTAACTCTAACACAGTTGTATAAGAGATGACAATTACATTAAAAGGAATTTACTACCTGACAAAGCAGCGGTAATATGGACGGTTTGCTTTGCACTCCCTTCTCTCTCAAGATGGGACCAGTGGTGCTACATCAGATAGTCCGTCAAAAACAAATGTCATAGCTAGATTTGTTCCTAGGTAACACGATATCTGCAAAAACATTGTCTCTGTGTACAAAAATGGATCGAGCGCAGTTTTACATTATATATTGATCTCAATGTAAAGTCTTAAATGAATGAGACTCTTAGAAGGGTTTACAAAAAAGCCTTTTATTTGAACTGTTGTTTTATTTGATTCTTTCGTCTAATATTGGGAATGCAAAAAATCCTTTTAACTAGCTATTTATTAATTAGTACTAATCGATACCCAAACTGAATATTCTGCTGTTTTATTGTACTTTTGCAAGTTATAGTTATTCGCTTCATTCAAAGATGCATGCTTTTTATTTATGTTATTCTGGGGTAATAGGCATAAACATCTAGGCAGATATTTATTTTGTGCACCTGTATTATAGCACCGAATAATGTGTCAATGCAACAAACTATATTATAGTACAATATGATTTTTTCAACATACGGTTGTTATAGTTAAATACACCATTTCTGATAATAACGAGTACGAATTTCCACGAGGTGTGCCGTCTGTATACCTATTTTCTCTAAACCCCTTTCTCTGCTGCGGGGCTTCCTTCGCGACGTTTTGCGACAGTGCCGTGCTGACATACGGCACCTTAACCGAGGCAAAGTGCGTCTCTTCAGAGCAAGTACCGGCTGAGTGAGACGCAGCAACAAGAGAAAGGAATACACTTCGGGCTTGTTTTCTACCTGGACCACATCCGAGCAACCACGCGCCCCTTCCGGTACCAACAACTAACCCCGAAAACTCGATGTGGAAGCTGGGCTGAAGGAAGAAAGGGCCACGCAGGGGACGGCAACTAGCCGACTTGTCGAACCGAGCTCCGCGGAGTTAGCCCGGTTGGCTCCCAAGCGACGCTTTAAAAAAAAGGGGGGGGGGAGAAGGAGTCTGAGTCGGGGGGTGAAAATGGACTATGACTTCAAGGTGAGGCTGACCGGCGAAAGAGAGCGCGTCGAGGACCTGTTCGAGTACGAAGGATGCAAAGTGGGACGAGGCACTTACGGCCATGTATACAAGGCGAAGAGAAAAGATGGGTGAGTTGACGAGCAGCCGAGGCCTCGAGCCCCTCCGAAGCCCTCCGTCGGCCCGCTACCTCCAGACACCGCGCGCTCACGCCGAGGCGTGTTGTTATTAGAAATTAGAAAATAAGGTGCCCACGTCTATCGCCTGACCTGTCAGGATGCTGCTGATGCTTGTGGGACGCGTGTAACTTCACTGACGCGTTGTTGTGTGTCTCCGAAGTAGTGGAGTTGTGTCTCTACGTTATTTTTGTTGATATGAAGTAAGATCCTTTGCAGGTGAGTTTGGTGAACCTACAGCAGGTGCAAGTGCAGCCAGATATAACTAAATGGTGTGGGACCTTTTTTGTAAGGTTTTAGTTTTATACTGCTGGTCATTCAAATATCTCAGTAAATTATTAAAATGTATTCATTCATAGAGGAGTCAGACATGAGAGCTTTGATTAGTATTTACTCTTATTGTCTGTCATGTTATTCCTCTTTCGTTAGCCACAATTTCGTTCCCTTGTTTGTGTATTTTGTGTTTTTTTAATTCATTTTTTTAGCCTTCTGCTAAATTGGGGGAGAGATATCATGAAGGAAAAGATACGTGCATGGCTGGGCCCAACTCAATCAAACTGGTTCATGGTCAGATCCTCAAACACCCAGGACCACCAGGGGGGCCACCCACCTTCATTTACAAACCCTGTGTTTACGTCCCCACTTTGTTTGTAATCTAACCCTCGGGTAAGCGTGTCAAGTGTACCAGGACCAGAGGAGGTCAGGAGCTGGAGGCAGCCAGAGCTGCTGGGCCCGTGCTCGCCTATTATCACAGACTGGGCGTACTGGCAGCCAGAACCACACTAAACATCCCTCAAGTGTTTATGGATGCTGGTGTTCACTTTAGGAGGCTCATGTTCACGGCACTTTGTGAGCTGCGGCGGTCGGACGAGGCCTGGAGGAAGCACGGGTTTGTGAGATTGTATAGGCTAGGCGGAGGGAGGGGTTCCTACCGATACGTTCAAGTGAGAGCGAGTCCCAGTGCTCCGTTTGTCCTTCGCCATCCACCGTGCGGCGCCGCTTTCCTTTCCTCTCCCCCTTGTATTGTTTCGAGCCTCAGAGCTGAGCTTGATTGCACAAAATCAGGAGGTAACACAACGTGGCTTCAACTCAGAGTTCCAGTGCCAGCTGCCAACCCCCCCCCCCCCCCCCCCCCCCCTTATGTTTCTGTGCAGACAGCTCTCAGGGGGGCCTCACGGTCTGGTCTGGTGTTGATGTTGCTCTGCCTCTCTCTGTTTGTAGGAAGGATGACAAGGACTACGCCCTCAAGCAGATTGAAGGCACTGGCATCTCCATGTCAGCCTGCAGGGAGATCGCAGTAAGAACTGCCAGTTTTGCGTCACTCCTTTTTTGACATCCTCATGCGTTTCCCATGCGGCCTTATACAATGTCTGAATCACCTGCACTTTGTAAAGTAAGCAACTGTCATCAAACTCAAGAGTTTGTAAGACAGTGATGTCATCCATACAAAGGATATACACAATATTGGTATCAAAAGCTGTGCCAATCAAAATTAATTTTTAATCTGAGGGCACCATTCATGGTTATTGGTACAGTGCAGATTGAGTGATTTATTCTAGGTGAGTGTGTGCTGCGTCTGCTGAGTGGCTTTGTGTCTTGTAGCTGCTGCGGGAGCTGAAGCACCCCAACGTCATCTCGCTGCAGAAGGTTTTTCTGTCACACGCCGACCGTAAAGTTTGGCTGCTCTTTGACTACGCCGAACACGATCTCTGGGTAAAAAAAACTGCACACACACAACATACTGCAGTAAAACCACATTGTACGTTGACTATGGCAATCTGTGTGTGAAAAGTTTCTATCTACTTAATTTAAATGTATTTTATTAGTTTGATTGCACATGCACACACGGCAGATTGCGCTCCACAGCGCTGATCCATTTTCATCAACCAGTTGTAAGCGAAGACACTCAAATGGAGATTTTTATCACTGCTAAGTCTCACTAATAAACACTAAAACACCAAGAAATATTCAACATTTGGTTGTCAAACCTCTGCTGTACTACACTTTGCAGTGTATCAGAACTGAGTTAAAATGCCATTTTCAACCACAGAGCTGTAAAAATCACACCAAGCTTACTCGTCTCTCCTACAGCAAGCATACAAATCTATAGATGTTAATCGTCATGTAGCCATACGCACAATTCCTATTAACGTGTCTTTCTGTAGCACATTATTAAGTTCCACAGAGCGTCCAAGGCCAACAAGAAGCCACTTCAGCTGCCGAGAGGAATGGTCAAGTCTCTGCTCTACCAGATCCTGGATGGCATCCATTACCTTCACGCCAACTGGGTCCTCCACAGAGACCTTGTAAGAGGATTGGGGAGGGAACGGGGGGAAGGGAGAGAAAATGCGCTGCGCAGGAAAGAAAGGGAGTTGATGAGAGATTAGAAGAATGTCATTGGGCAGAGAGGCTGTCAATCTGCATGTGTTGCGTAATGGCTCCCTCTGATGAGGATAATCATTAACAAGTTCAATTAGTCTAAGATAAGCGTGACGTTTTACGTAATATATTAATGTATACAGTACAATACAGTTTTATTTATTTCATTGGAAGATTATCACATAAAAGATTGTATTATATTTGTACTCGATTTAGTCGGATATTAACAGATTTAGTTTTGATTGGAAAGCCAATTGATCTATTTCCATCCACAGAGAAGAAACTGTAATACTGGTGCTCCTGTGCAATGCAGTAAGCGTGTTTGTCCACTAGAGGGCAGCAGCATAGTTTTGATGACACAAGCAGCGATGTGGTTCACTGAGTGCCTACAGCATCATACTTGACTCATACTAGAATCATACTTTGTCCAGAGTTATGTGAACAAGAAACCTATTAGAAATGTGCTCTTAGAAAGTATTTTTACAGGGTGGCGACTGTGAGCACCCCAGAAATGTTCAGAAATGTGTATCTGTCTCTTTTCCTCAGAAACCAGCAAACATTTTAGTGATGGGGGAAGGGCCGGAGAGGGGCCGAGTAAAGATTGGTATGTATGACTTCTCCTTTTTAAAGAAAACCACACACACATTGACAAGTTGTCAATGACTGACTTTAACGTGTGTCTTGCAGCGGACATGGGATTCGCCCGCCTCTTCAATTCACCGCTGAAGCCTTTAGCCGATCTCGACCCTGTGGTGGTCACCTTCTGGTACAGGGCGCCCGAACTGCTGCTCGGGGCTCGGCACTACACCAAAGCCATCGGTGAGAACCGTGCAAAAATCTCCCACCCGCCGGGCCCGCCCCGAACTTAAAGTGTGTGTGTGTGTGTGTGTGTGTGTGTGTGTGTGTGTGTGTGTGTGTGTGTGTGTGTGTGTGTGTGTGTGTGTGTGTGTGTGTGTGTGTGTGTGTGTGTGTGTGTGCGTGTGCTCCGCTTGTCATCTCCAGACATCTGGGCGATTGGCTGCATCTTTGCCGAGCTGCTGACGTCGGAGCCCATATTCCACTGTCGCCAGGAGGACATCAAGACCAGTAACCCTTACCACCACGACCAATTGGACCGCATCTTCAACGTCATGGGCTTCCCTGCTGGTGAGAGTTCACCACTGCTGCGGGAATACTCATTTGAATTAATTAAATAACGTTCTGATGAGCTGAGCGAGTGACGATTTGTGCCATTCAGTTGTTTTTGGTGCCAATGTTTCACGGCTGTCTTTTCAATGCAGTGGAAGGATTTTCTCTTCCCACCAGAGGCCGATTATTTGCCTGCTCTTTTCAAGCCTTTTTTTTTCTTTAGGCAGTGCTGTGCTCTGTTGGCTCTGAACACCACTGCCAA